GCCCCATGGCCGGGAACCAGCCCCTGGAAGCACCGACACCTCCCTCCCAGCTCTCCTGGACCCGGCAGCCCTCCAAACCTGCAGGGAAGGGACTTGCTTTGGGACACACTGTGGGACAGGAGACAGTGTCATTTGTGTGTGCTCTGAACAGGGGGTCCTCCCCACCCCGCCAGCAACATCCCCCTCCCTCTGCCCCACACCGCCCCGCTCACACCAGGCTTCTCCCTTCCGCAGCTGCGTGCTCGTTCTGCCCCATGTCCCCCCTCAGTGTCCCCTGTGCCCCCCCAGCTGCCTGGCAGCCACAATGCTGCAGGGCAGGGCTGGTACGGCCGGTCCCCACCCTGCAGAGCAGCTTCGGAGGCCGGGGGCAGGAGGAAGAGGAGGAGGAGGACTCAGTCCTGCTGTCGGAGGAGCACAGCCTGATCCTGACCTGCTGCTGGGTGTCGGTGAAGGTAGGCACCCCTCCCCATGGGGCTGGGGAGAGGGGCACCCCAGCACAGCACCCACTGCCCAGCTCACCCCCACAGCCGGGCTCCTTGGCTCCTCTCAGGGCATTCTCCCTCCCTGGGGACTAACGATGGGGAATCTCTGCCCTTACCTCGGAGCTGCCACAGACCATCCTCACTCCCTGCCAGGGAGGATGCAACCTCCCTCCTCCCCAAAAGCAGCCACCTCCCCACCTGACCTGATGTAGCCCAGCTGGGTCCCAGGCACTGACAGACCCCAGCTGTGGCAGAGCTGGGCTCCCCAGGTTGTAGCCCATCATGGCTCCTTTCTGATAGCCACCCATCCTGCCTTCTCCTCCTCTCCAGTGGCAGCCTGCAAAAAGGCCCTCTCTGCCCTGGGAAACCTGGGAGACCTTCTCGCTCTCTCCAACTCCCTGAAAGGAGGGTGTAGCCAGGGGGGGTCGGTCTCTTCTCCCAAGGAACAGCTGATGGGACAAGAGGAAACGGCCTCAAGTTGCCCCAGGGGAGGTTCAGATTGGAGATTAGGAACAGTTTTTACACTGAAAGAGTTATCAAGCCTTGGACCAGGTTGCCCAGGGAAATGGTGGAGTCACCATCCCTGGAGGTATCTAAAAGCCAGGCAGACATGGTGCTGGGGGACATGGGTCAGTGGTGGCTTTGTCAGTGTTGGGTTGATGGTTGGATGATTTGAAGGGTCCCTTCCAACCCAGGCAATTCTATGATTCTGTGGAACCGCCGTGCTGCAGAGCCTGCGTGTGCTTGTGGCCATCCCACTGCCCACACTGCCCGGTGGTGCTGGCAACCAAGAGGGTTTGTCCTGGGGGGGTAATGGCAGCCCCCCCCTGTGCTTCCCTGCGGCAGCTACAGCGGGGCAGGACAGGAATGGGGCAGCCCCATGGCCAGTCCCCGTGACCTTCTGCTTCTCCACAGGAGATCGGGCTGCTCTTGGGGGGCCTGACTGAGCTGCTGCTGGCCCCCCCAGTGCTGCCTGCCGGATGGGGGTCCCTCCTGCCGCTCCCCACCCTGCAGACAGCCGCGAGGGTCTTCCAGGAAATCCTGCTGCGGTGCCGGCACTGGGTAAGAGCGTGTCCCACCTGGGGTGGCTCAGCCCCATGCCCACCCCTCCAGCCCTGTCCCGGTAGCCGGGGGCTCTCAGGGGTGTTCAGTGGGGCAGGGTCTGCTCTGGGGCCACGGGGCACGGCTGGGATCCCAGCACCAGAGCCCATCACATCCCCACACCATCACCTCTTCTCGCTTCCTCCTTCCCCTTTGCAAGGAGGTTTCTGGGGGCCATGAGGGGCTGGTGGGGGACCCCTGTGTGGTGGGGGGGCACCCATCATGGCACAGGGGCCCCCTTTGTGGCACGGGGAGCTGAGGCTGCTCTGCCCTAGGGAGCGGTGGAGGGCTGCAGCATGGGCTTCACCAAGTTCTGTGCCGCTCTGCTGAACCACCCGGACCCGGAGCTGCAGGCCATCCCACAGAACATGCTGGAGCAGGTACCATGCTCGTTCTGCCCCATGTCCCCCCTCAGTGTCCCCTGTGCCCCCCCAGCTGCCTGGCAGCCACAATGCTGCAGGGCAGGGCTGGTACGGCCGGTCCCCACCCTGCAGAGCAGCTTCGGGCTCCAGCCAGCAGGTCTCCAGCCATATCTCGGGTGGGTTTTGCTCCTCAGGGCTTAGAAGCGCTGAGCGGACCCCGCAGCAGCTCGATCACACGCCGTGCTGCCGGCTTCCCCATGCTCTTCCTCTGCATCGCCAGCGGGGAGGCCCCGGCGCAGGCACGGCCGCTGCTGACCCGCTGTGTCCAGACGCTGCTGGCCTTGGCCACCACAGCCCTGCCACAGGACTGGGACCAGACCCTCGACCTCCCGCAGGTGAGCTCCTGGCTGCTGTAGCCCAGCTGGGGACAGGGTGATCTGCAGGAGGTCCCCTAAAGGGAGCGGTGCCAGGTAATCAAGCAGGAGGGTGAGCAAAATAACCACCATCCTGGCCATGCTGCCTGTCCTGAGAGCCCAAGAGCTGGTGGCCCCTTGGCTCCCCCGTCTTTCCCACCATCTCTCCTTCACTGGGAAGCATGAGCCCCCTCCCCACGCAGCGTGCTGAGCCCCCCGTGCTCTCCCCAGGTGTGTGCCTGCCACGTGCTGCAGACGCTGGTGCGTGGCGCGGGGCTGGGTGGTGCGGTGCTGCGGCACGCCACGCCGATGGTGGCCCTGGCCCTGCGGGGCTTAGGCTCCCCGTGTTGGGCCATGAGGAACGCAGCCATCCAGCTCTTCAGTGAGTACTGGGGGGGAGACATCCCCGCAGAACCGACACAGCCCCCCAGGGTCTGGGCTATGGCAGGGGGTAGAGGGGACCTGACTCTGCTTTCTGCCCCATCCCTTTAGGTGCCCTCACGTCCCGGCTGCTGGGCCAGCAGCGGAGCCGTGGGGAGGGCTGCCCGGCGGAGGGGGTGAGCCTGCAAGCCTTCCTGGGGCAGCACCTCCAGCTTGGCACCGTGCTGCTGGGCGAGCTGGGGACGGCCACCCTGCCCACACCGGGGGGGCCCCAGCTGCACCCCGCGCTCCACGCCGTCCTCACCCTCCTGGCCCAGCTGCAGCCCAGCGCTGATGGCCCCGGCAGGTGAGGGGGCAGTGGGGATGCAGCAGGACGTGGGGATGCAGTCCCCAGCCTGGCCCTGGCTCTCACTCCGGCCCGAGCATCACCACACAGGCAGTGGGGATGCAGCAGGACGTGGGGATGCAGTCCCCAGCCTGGCCCTGGCTCTCACTCCGGCCCGAGCATCACCACACACGGTGCCCTTCTTGTTTCGCAGCCGCTCTGCTGGTTTCCTGGGGCCGCTGCTGGAGCTGGCAGGGAGCCCCATCTTCGCCGTGCGCTCCATGGCTGCCAAGGCACTGGTGCCCGTTGTCCCACCCCCCCAGCGCCGGGGTCTCCTCCTGCAGCTGGCCCGGCAGCTCCCCACCACCCCCAGAGGGGTCTGCTCACACAACGCCGTCCACGGGCGCCTGCTGCAGATGCGGGCGCTGCTGGCCCCAGCTCCGGGCACCGAGGGGTGAGTGGTCCCACGCCGTCCCCCCCCTCCATGGCTGCTCTGTGCCAGGACGCAGTGTTTTGGGGTGCAGGCCCCACGGTGAGGCAACATGTGTCCCCGCAGGCTGTCGGCCGAGGCGCTGCGCCCTGTGGCCCTGGAGCTGGAGGCGCGGGGATGGCTGCTCACCCCCGCCCAGCGCTGCCCCCTCGTCCGCGACGCCTTCCTCCAGGTCCTCGCCCTCCTGCCTGCCTCCTGTAGCCCCGGCTTCACCCAGAGCATCCGTGAGGCCATCAGTGCTGAGCTGGGCGGCCTCCCGCCGGGGGCAGAGCCGGGATGTGCCGAGCCACAGGTACTGCTGCCTGCCAGGGAAATCACCACCGGGACCTTCCTGCTGGGGAGCCCAGGGCTGGGAGGTGGGGACCCCACTGGGGACCAAGTGCTGGAAGGGGGATGCTGGTTTTCCTGCAGGTGGGCTTGGCCATCCTCCACCAAACCATGGCCCGCTTCGTGTGCAGCGAGGGAGCCCGGCTGGCGGACGGCGAGCGGATCGGCGCCGTCTGCTCCCTTCTCCAGCAGCCCAATCCCGACGTCCAGCGTGCCGTCCTGAGCTGGGTGATCTCCGGGGAGGGAGGAACATGCGAGGAGCTGGAGAAGGCTCTGGGGCTGACCTTGCTGGTATGATGAGGCTCAAACATCCCTGAGTAAAGCAGCGGGTCCCCAGTGCACCGCAGAGATGGGATCCCAGGTGCTCACTGAGAAGCACGGTGCTACCCGCGCTGAGGGTTCAGGGGAGTGGGGCACTTGCCAGGTTGTGATGAGGTTGCCACCCTGTGGTGCCGGGGACACTAACCATGTACCTTCTTTCCCGTTGTCAACTAGGAGAGCTTGCGGTCGGTGCTACAAGAGAGGAGGGACACAGAGTTCCTGAGATTGTACCTTGAGGCTTTGCTGCATCTTTACAGAGAACCCTCCTCCTGGTCCCAGGAAGCTTCCCGTAAGCTCCACGGCTCCTCAGCAGCGTGCCTGGAGATGCTGCTGCACATGCTGGAGGCTGAGAGTCCTGGCCCCGACCTCCTCTTCCAGGCGCTGTGTGCTGCCAGCCTGCTGCTCGCCCACCGGTAGGTCCCTACCAATGCCAGGGGGGCTCTGCCTGACCCTCCCAGAGCCCCAACTTCTCACCCGTAAATCACAGGCACCTTTGCACCTGGGTCCTGCTGTCTCAGAGCAGGAGCCCTGGAAGGGGTGTCTGAATTCCTGTTCCTTCCCGGGGCTGTGGCAGGTGTGAGGAGGAGGAGGATGGCCCGCTGGCGGAGCGGTGGAGCAGGGTGCTGGAGGAGTGCGGCCGGTCTGTCTCCTGTGCGGAGCTGCGGCTGGCGGCCGCCCGTGCCCTGCGGCAGGCGGGTGCCGTTGTGGTGCAGCGATCCCTGCGTCCTCCCTGTCCCGCGCTCGTCCCCGCGGCGCTGCGGTAGGTGCTGGCAGGACCCGTGCTGCCCACAGCCCCCAGGCTGACCCCGCGAAAGGCCACGGCCCCTGCAAAAAAATTCAAGGGCATTAAAAAAAACCCCACACATTCAAAAATCACTAGCACTCAAGAGATAGTAATATCCCAATATCCCTGTCCCGCGCTCGTCCCCGCGGCGCTGCGGTAGGTGCTGGCAGGACCCGTGCTGCCCACAGCCCCCAGGCTGACCCCACGAAAGGCCATGTCCCCTGCCAAAAATTCAAGGGCATTAAAGAAAACCCCACGCGTTCAAAAATCACTAGCACCCAAGAGATAGTAATATCCCAATATTCCAGTATCTGGAGGGAGCCCACAGGAGAGCTACACTTCCTTCTTTGTCAGGAAGTGCAGTGACAGGACAAGGGGTAACGGTTTTAAACTGGAAGAGGGGAGATTTAGATTAGATACCAGAAAGAACTTCTTTGCTGTGAGGGTGGTGAGAGCCTGGCCCAGGTTGCCCAGAGAAGCTGTGGCTGCCCCATCCCTGGAGGGGTTCAAGGCCAGGTTGGAGGGGGCTTGGAGCAACCTGCTCTGGTGGGAGGTGTCCCTGCCCAGGGCAGGGGGGTTGGAACTGGATGATCTTTAAGGTCCCTTCCAACTCTAACCATTCTGTGATTCTATGAGCTTGAGATTACCCAAAATTTCTGGGTGACATTTTAACAGAAGGAGCCAGTCCCTTATGAGCAATAAATCACACTGTGGATGCCTTGATCCCTGTCGCGGTCCCTGCCTTCCCAGGGAGTGAGCTCCTGGGTGGTGGCTGTGCCTTTCACAACCCAGGAGAAAAGTCCCTGGATGGCTGGGGATGCTCTGGGGAGCGTGGGGACCTTCCCTTCCCTTCTCTTCCCTTTCCCCAGGCTGATAAACGTTGGCATTCACCTTCTGCAAGACGAGGAGCGGGAGGTCCGGCACGAGGCCTCGGGATTCGCCAGCCTCCTGCGGCAGGACCCAGCCGAGCCCCTCCGAGATGGCTGCATCTTTGTGCAGGACAACCTGGGCCTCCTGGGGCTCCTGCAGCTCCTCTCGGCAGAGTTCGGGGAGCACCCCGAAACCTTCGACTTGCTGCTGCAGCATCTCCCTGTCCTAGATGTCAAGGGCACCATGGAGGAGCTGGAGGCCAACAAGTGAGTTGCCAGACCCCTGGGCTGGGTATGAGCACAGGAAGGACATGGACCAGTTGGAGCAGGGCCAGAGGAGACCACAGAGATGCTGGGAGGGCTGGAGCCCCTCTGCTGGGAGGGGGGGCTGAGAGAGTTGGGGGGGTTCAGCCTGGAGAAGAGAAAGCTCCAGGGAGACCTTAGAGCCCCTTCCAGTCCCTCAAGGGGCTCCAGGAGAGATGGGGAGGGACTCTGGATCAGGGAGGGGAATGACAGGATGAGGGGGAAGGGTTTGACACTGAAAGAAGAGACTTAGATTAGAGATCAGGAAGAACTTCTTTGGTGTGAGGGTGGTGAGAGCCTGGCCCAGGTTGCCCAGAGAACCTGTGGCTGCCCCATCCCTGGAGGGGTTCAAGGTCAAACCATTCTATCATTCTATGAGGAAGTGTGGGGGACCAGGTCTCTTCCAACCCAAACCATTCTATGAGGAAGTGTGGGGGACTGTGGGGCCATCCCTTGGCTTCACCTGTGCCACCCCACAGAGCCACCAGCCTGTACAAGGAGGACGAACCCAACGTTTTTGCGGAGCCGGCCATCATGGCCTGGCAGCTGCTCCCCATCCTGCTGCAGCTCCTGGAGAAGGCTCCCGCTGGCAGCCCGCTCCGTGCCTCGGCTCTGCGGTGGCTGGTGGCCACGGGCCCTGGCATCCTGCGCGACCTGCAGTACTGCAAGCACCACTGGAGCCAAGGTAGAGTGCTGGGGGGTGGGGAAGCAAGGTGGCACAAAGCCACCAACACAGGCAAGTTGGTGTCCCCGTCCCCTGGGGGGACCCTGCTGCACTCACAGCTCCTTCACCTGCTCTCTCCACAGAGGCCGCTGCCAACCGAGGGATGAAGGCACTGGGCTGTGCCAAGCTGCACATGGCGGTGGCCGTGCTCCTGGTGAGGGCCCGGCTGGTGGCACGGGCGCTGCGGGCACTGGGGGACAGTGCCACCACTGTGCTGGGGCTGGACGGTGGAGCCCAGGAACTGGAGCAGGAGCTGGCGCTGGTGCAGGGGCTGCTGGCACAGCACGGGCTGGCCCCTGTGCCAAGCCAGGCCAGCGTGCCAGGGGAGCCAGGACCACCCTCCGGGGCTGCCTGACAGCTCTGGGCATGGAGCAGCATCACGCTGGAGCCCCACAGCCCTGAGGTTCTGGGTTCACGCTGCCACATCCCTCTGTTTGCTGGATGGTCTCTCTGGCCACCAGCCGGGACTGGGGGTTCGGTGGTGTAACTCAGGGGAACCCCACTCTCCATGGGGGACACACTCCCTTTGTTCCCATCGTTTTATCACTCTCCATCCCAAGGGCACCAGAGCAGCATCACCTCAGCCCCTGCCCTCGCGTCTGGCTGGAAGGGGGGATACACACACCCTGGAACCCTCACTCTGCCTTGTGCTGCTCAACTCCCACCGCCTTATTTTTTTAACCGTTTTAGCTCCTCATTTGCAGTGGGCTGACCCCCCCAGCCCTCCCGTGGGGAGCTAGAAAGCTGCGAGGTACCTCTTTGCAGTGGGCTGACCCCCCCAGCCCTCCCATGGGGAACTAGAAATCTGCAAGGTACCTCATCCTGGTGTCAGCTGGGATAGGGTTAATTTTCTTTCCTGTTGGGGCTTTGATATGAGAAGAACGTTGAGGAATGTCAATAAAACATATTGTTTTAGTTGTTTAGAGGTAATGTTTGTATTAGCCAAGGACTTTTTCAGCTTCCCATCCAAATGGAGAGGGAGCAGAGACAGGAGAAGCTGGCCAAAGGGATATTCCACACCAGAGCCATCACGCTCCGTGTATAAATGGGGGTTGGCTCGGGGGCAGGAATCCCTGCTCAGGAGGGTTGGGCAACTGATCATCAGGTGGTGAGAGCCACTTGTCTTGTATATTTTGTATACTCTTTTAACATTATTATTTTCCTTTCCTGTTAAAGACAGTTTAATATAACACTATCTCAACTCATGAGTGTTTTTTTCCCCCCTTTCTCTTCCTTTTCTCCCTACCCTACTCAGGGCAGTGGGACTGAGCTGCCCACTCCCAGTTGCTGGCTGGGGTTAAACCATGACAGCCCTTTTTGGCACCAAACGTGGGGCTGGACGGGTGGAGATACCAACAAACTTGACCAGAGCACGGTCGAACAAATTTGTTCTAAGTGTTCATTGTATGAACGTTGATTTATTTGCTCTCAGACTCGTTGTGCTTGTTCTCGGGGCTGTGTTTTGTTACCCATTACCTGCTGTAGGTGTTCCCTGTTGTGCTCAGGATTGATTTTGCTGTACCTTGAAGGGCTCATGAGAGGCTGAGACCCTCTTCTCCTGGGTGACTGGGGGCTCCATTCCCGTTCCTTGGGAGGCATCTAGAGGAAATTATCTGTAATTACATTTTTTAACTGTTCTTGGAGAGCTGAGCAGAGGCTGAGGGAAGGGGAACAGGACTTGTCCAGCCTCCAGCAGGACAACCCCCTGAAGTCCCTTCTGACCAGAGTTATTCCGTGATCCTATACATTATATCCCACTTTTTCCTGAAGTAGGGCCCACTGCTGCCATCGCACAGCCTTTTCTTGACCTGAATGCCTTTCAAATAAACAATATGCCTCTAATTACCTTTTGACTGCCGGTCTCTACCAAAATTACAGGTAATTGTAGCTTTAGATGATGTTACTGATAGGGTTATCTAGGTCTGAATAACCTTAATTTCCAGAACTCCCCTGTCACAAGGAGTCTGTCCTTGATTCTCCTATAACCAAGTGCAAGGAGGTTCTTATCTCGTACCCTATCTGATATTTTCCATACCAGATCAGTGGAGCGTGCCTCGCGTTCCTTCAGTACCCCCTAAAATCCCCCCATCACAAAGTTCCCCTTCTGCTCTGGGAACAGGTAGTTACGCTGTAGCTGTCACCACACCAGCTCTGCCTGAATTCCTTGCCCAAATTTCCTCCTGCTTCTGTTGGAAGGCTTCTGTGGCACGGTTCATTGCTCTAACACCGTGCCTTTTTCAATTGTACCTTCCTCAGAATCTCTTCTTACCTCTCCTGTTTACAGCCCTCGCTGTAAATGAAGCACATTTACTGCACAGAATGTGCCTTCTCGGAGTCTCTATCTCCTGAGCTAAACTGCACTGTCAGCATTTATTCTTTATCATTCTCCTTACTGATAACCACTTTTAGTTCCTCCAATAGAATTAAAACATACTCCTTGTGCCAATTACCCTGTGGTCTTGAACTTTGGAGCAGAAATGCTTGTAAAAGCAAGACAGATCTTCTATTTCAGCAAAAAAAAAAAAAAAGTAACTATTAAAATAATGTGTAGGAGTTGCACTGACTACTCCTCCCACCCCCTCCACCTTCTCCCGAGTCAGAGATGACCTCTGAAAAGGAGCATCTCCGATTTGTTGCGCTTCAGTAGTTTACAACAAACCTTTGAACAGCGAGAATCTTGTTGATTTCTGGGCACGTGTTTCTATAAAAGGCTTTTCCTGGCCAGGAACAAAGGCTACCACAACCAGCCCTCCCGAATCAGCTGGAAAAAACCATGAAATTCGTTGGCGTAGATGTTTGTTTCTTCGCTCTCTTCACCCTCACTACCCTTTGGAATGCAGGTGAGTGACTTTCAAAAATTTTGCTGCTTTTAACTACAAACTTCTTTGACTTCTGAACTGTTATACACACACCTCGGTAAGAAATTATTGATACCTTTTGCAGACGCTAAAGCAAAGGCACACGGGCTGGCTTTACTGGCACAATGTCATTTTCAGCCCCTTCTTCTGTAGTTTCCAGTAGGACCTGGATCTTTTCTGTAAGTAAAGAGACAATCTGGAGAACGCAGTAGATATTTTTAAAGACACAGAGCAAATTTCTAGCTCTTTGTATCGAACCAGCATTTTCACCTCCACCGCAGGCAGGTTTTCTGCTATAGAATGAAGGCTGAGTTTTATTTCTGACTCACTACTGTTCCCGTTCTCTTGCCACACACCCATGTATTTTCCCAGGATACAGGAAGAAGGCCAGCAGAGAGAGAAATTTTACTACCTTTTCCTTTTCTTGATCTCTCCATCCTACCAAAAACCCCCAGACAGCCCTCCCTGTCCCTCCACCCCACACACAAACAACACCCAGTGACATTTTCTTCTCCTGGACACACCTGGAACTGCACAGGATTGCTCTTCAGCCCCACAAGGGGTAAATTCTTTCTTTTTCTCCTGGTCTCGTTCATACATTGTTAATGACCTCTGAGGAGCAGGTGGTTCCAGCAGCTTTTGGGACACAGAGCAGAGCTTCTGCTGGCATCCAAACAATCACAGCCAGCCCTCCTGGACACCTGCACACCTCCCAGTTCTGTTTGCACTGGAAGGTCACTAGCAGAAACACAAACCCACCTTCTCTCTCCAGATTCACAGACACCTCGTGTGCCAACACAGGCTTTGAATATCCCATTAGCTCAGCCCAGACCCCAAGTCCCTTCATGTGGTCAATAGCTCAGAGCTGGGGTCCCTCCACGTGCAGGTCTGATGACTGGCTGGTTCATCCTGCTCAGGACAGAAAATAGCACCAGAATGTAATAAAATGGCTATGGTGATCAGGTGCAAGGCTCAGTCAGAGAAAACTACTGATGGCTTGTTTATGTGTGACCGGCTCCTTCTATCTTCCCTTCTTCCCATTTTCCTGTGCTTGTTCTTCACCATGCTCTTTGACCCTTTCTTTCTGCTTGCGTTCTCCCAAACAAGCAACCCTCCTCTAATTACTGTTTCATAATTGTTCATAATTTTGCTACATCCATGTCCAAATTTAGAATTTCTGATACTTACCTAGGTCACCTCAGCATTGCCTGGTGTTATTGATATAATTACCCAAGCCCTGTTGCCCTTGCAAGATTCCACTCCCCAAAAGATCCTGTGTTCCCAGTGTCCGTGCAGCTCCTCTATCTCACTTAACTCCCCCCTAACTGTTCGTGAAATCCAGCCATTTCTTGGGGTTACCATAACATCTGTCAACTTTGCGCTGGTTTATTTGTGTTGAGCAATTTTTAATGTTGTGTCCAGTAATTACTCATGGTCTGTTCAGCCAGACCTCAGCCAAGGGCCTAGTCATCCGTCTGTACCTCCTCATCTTAACAGCTACCTTCTTAAGGTTGGACTCAAGTAAATTGCGCAATAGAAGGAAATTTCAGTAGCTTTTCATAATCTGATATTAGAGCACACTTTGTTGCTGATGTCAGCTTTCCATTCATACAAGAGCACCAGCCTTCTGTTCCACTGATTCCCATGGAGGGCTGACAGTGACAGGACGCCATCACAGCTTGCTGCAGACCTACTCTCAGCAATAAATACAATTAGTGACACTAACCAAGGGACTACTCTGGAGATTTATCTTTCTATTAGATGTACAAACACCCATGGAGTTGGTGAAACTATATACTGTCTGGCGAGCCAAATAACTGCATTTTTCTACTCAAAATGGAGTAACTTTAATACACAGGTGATGACAGCCTTCACCTAAATACATCCTAAACTAACATAACCAGCCTACTTCATTTATTTACAGCAGTCCTTTAGAAGATGTACTTCTGCTGCAAAGATCATCTAGAAGGGTTCCATAACATTCCTGACTATGTTTTTCCTTCCTTGAACCAGGAGCTCAAGACTCTTGCGCACTCCGGTGTGGGGAGCTGCTCGGTGCCTGTTCTTGCCAGGTGACGTGCCAGTCCTTGGGGAACTGCTGTCCTGATTATAAAGAATTTTGTCTTCAGATTTCTCCATACTCGGGATCTCTGATGGGAGGCAAAGACTTTTTGATTGAAAATGCAATTTTTAATGCCTCTTCAGTGATAACGTGCAGGTAGGTCATGGTTTTATACTCCTCTGCCAGAGGGAGGTGAACCTGTCTTATCTCAGTTTCCAACAATAGGCAATTACCACAAAACAAGACAACTACTCTGCAAAGTTGTAAGAATCCTGAAACATGCAAAAGTTCTGGTAACCCTCACCCTCAAGGATACATGTTGTCTGTATTTCTACACAGGATCATTTCATTTAGGTCCAGTTATTGTGCAATACAATCATCACTCTGCTAGTTCCCCCCTTAACATGTGTTAAGGTGTGTCACACAGGCAATACATAGGGTACACTGAATTTTACTGACCCCAGTGTCCTGACATCCTTCCCACAGAAGGTTCTGGGTGAGATTTTGGAGTCCTTCCCCTCTGGATAGTAGCACCTGGGAAGATTTTTAGTTCTCCTTTGGGAAAGCCTTTGACCCAGGCATTTATTCCGTAGAACATGGGTCTTACTTTGAATTACCTGCACAGTTGGGAAAGCCTTTGACCCAGGCATTTATTCTGTAGAACACGGGTGCATACTTTGAATTACTTGCACAATTGCATTATTATGGGCAATACAAACCTCAGTGCAGACAAGCAAAGGCTTCCTGGCAGGCTCCGACTCCCTATGGAATTTGAGGTAGCTACATGGTACATAGACCCTGAAGAGTCATGGGTGGGATCATACAAGAGCCCTAACTGGAGGCAGGTGGTCAAATAACAAGCAATGAGTCCCCAGTTAATCTTTGCAACAGAAATTCTAGAGCAGCACAGAATTACTTTCCTTGTGTTCACAGGATTTACCAGCAAAAAAACCCCCACAAACCCAGAAATTTACAATGCCTGTGTATCGTGGTCTGTGTTAGCCACCCCATGATCCTGTTAATCCTATAACATCACCTTTGTCTTCCTGCTGTCCCTCTGTGGCTAATTTATCACGCCCCTCTGCCCCAGTAATTAATTAGTAAATCTAAGGCTTGCAGATTGCTGTGTGTTTGTGCAGTGCACAGCAGAATCCACACCGGTGTAATAAGCACAAAGTACAAACAAATTTTTCCAGTTTGTATTCACTGCTACAAGCAAAACAGCCACAGGACTTGGAGTGATCCACACATGACACAAGGTTGCTTGATGAAACGCAACTCAGACATTTGGAATCTTCCTCCTCTCTACGGTGACGCTGAAAATTGTTTCTGACACCAACAGGTTCAAGAAGGATGTCACAACCCATGGCTATGTGGATCAGGATGGAAGAGCCCACTGCATCTCCCCGTTGCTGTACGAGACTGGTTTCATCCCTTTTGATGTTTCCACAGATGGGAAGACGTTTCCATACTCTGGAACTTGGTTATCAGGTTACCTAAACCTACAGTATCCCTCTTATTTCTTAGTTCCCACTCCATGGATGCAAGACTATATAAGCCTTTCCCTTTTGAGCACTTTTCTTCTTCCTTAACCTCCTCTTCTGAGGCTGTTTGGCCTCAGCAAAGTCGTTCTTGCTGCCCTCATGCTAATTCAGATTTTGAGAGAAGAACTTTCACAGCAATGGAGTTCTGCTGCTATACAGCAGGTGCAGCATCAATGCATAAGAAGTCCTGCCTAAAAATGAGGTTGACCAAAACACTTCCCTTTCTGTACCTACTTCTATCAGAAAATAACTGCCTCCTGGTGTTGTAATGTAAGGACTACAGACATCAGTAAGGGTTGTGCTCTCTCAGCTTTAGCTTGCTCTTTTTGTATCATGCATCCTGTTAGAAAACATACCCAGGGGAAATACAGCTAAATCTTAAATAACACAGTGACACCTTTTCACAGCTACACAAAGCAGAAATGTCACTAATCCTTTTTTTTTTCCCATTCTGTAACACAGTGCATCACAGCAAAGTTGCAGATGGAGAAAAATGCACACTGGTAAATGAGACAAAATGGCAATACTATGGCACCCCCAACACCGATGGAAATTTAACTCTTACCTGGTCACACCAGGCACTTGCAACACCCAAAGTCAACATAGAAGTCTGGGGATACCAGGAAACAGGTAAAGTGCCACTGTCCTACCTGCACCCAAACAGAGCTCTGCACAGCACACGGTCCTTCCACCAGCCTCAGCCAGAGATCTGTGGCTATAAATAACTCATGACAATAACGGCAGCTTTTCCTCTTCATTTACATGTGAGTGGAAACACCTGGTTTCAATCTTGGGGTAATTGTTCTTTTCCAGCACCTGAAATGATTTTCTTCCTCTGTGTGACAGGTGACAGTTACTCAGAAAATTGGTCGGCTGAATGGAAATATCTTTATATTTTGGCAAAAGAAATTCCCAATTCTGGGAATTTTTCTTTCCTTCCTGTACCTGCTGAAGAAGAGTACAGTACGTGGGACTTTGGAATTTTGAGAATTACACCCAGCAACTATTCTGGCGGGGAGAGGCAAGTACATCACAACATTCATTTACCATTGGTACCTTGCTACTGCTTCCTGCATTAAAGCTGCTGTCTCCTTAGATGTTTAAAACTGGGACTCAGGCTTCATTTCACATGAAAAAGTGGGGAGAAAACTGGAAGGGTGGAAGTGAGAAAGTCATGGGTGAAGATGAAGAGAGTTTACTAAGTGAAGAAGGCACAAGGGAAGCAACGCAACAGCAACTGCTCACCACCTCCCCCGTGAAAATATAAATGCCACCTCCTCAGTGTTAGAACATATTACTAATACATCACAACCTCTTTTAGCATTTACAAGTTACTACCCACAGAAGAGTAACCCTTCCTCTTTCTAGAGGTTTTTTTTCATTACCTTTCCTTTATGATGTTTTTTCATGGGTAGAGAGCAGAGTGGCCTTGGAAGACTTCAAGGACTCTGTTTTCTCCCCATCTATCCCCATCAGGCCTGGTATCACTGGGGCACAGGGTTGGGTTTTGTTGCAGAATCCAGACATTCCTCATTCGAGCCTAAAAGGACCTACGATGGGAAGAGGCATGAATAGAAAAACCTGTCTCTAAAAAGACCTGTGTAAGCCAGAGTCACAAATGCTAGAATGTATTCTGATTATCCCATACTTGCTGCATGCTGTCATGTCACCTTCCAAATTAGGAAAATATTGATTTGCTGTAACTTTTTGCAGGAAAAAGACAGCAGTGGACTTTGCAAGGAAATAACAACTCACAAGTTGAAAGATTCTTTGTAATTATAGCTAGTGATTAAGACACAGTATTACTGCCAAAACAGTGCTTGTTCGGCTGTCAGATTCACTTTTTGGCTCTTTTTCTTTTTTTTTCCCCCAGCAACGTTCCATCGATCTGGAGCTCAGACCATGCCTTGGCTTGGCACCTTGGGCAAGACTTCAGAAAAGACCCAAGTGCATGGGCAACTGCGAAATGTATAGACTGGGAGAAAAAGGAGGAGAAGCTTCCAGACTTCATGAAAGAAATTATAGATTGCCCTTGCACCTTGGCACAGGCGAGAGCTGACACTGGCAGGTTCCATGTGAGTTATTAATCAATCCCTCTGGCTTATTACCATTCCGTGTAGAAGCTTAGGGAATTCTATACTCCCCACACACCCCTCTTCCCTCTCTAAAAGTCATTACAAGGAAATGAAATTATATTTCAATTTGCACAAGTGGCACATCAAATGGCAGAGGCAGGTACAGCTTATCCAGAGAGTATGGATAAAAGCAGTGCCTGTAGGACAGGAGATGGAAGTGCCCTTCAGAAAACAAACAAAAAAACAACCCAAACAAAACATTAGGTAATTTTGTTATATTTCCTGGTTACGAATCTCCAAACAGGATGTGTATTTTAAATGATACAGTTAAAAGCATGTGAAGAAAAAAAATTACATCTTCTGCACTGTCTCTGTCTAAGAACATAGGACAAAAGTTAAGTTTAGTCTGGTGTGATCTGTTTGTTATGTGCTTCTAGCTGGACACCCCGTCTCGCTGGGTCTGTGTCTCAAGGTCTGTGGTAACAGACTGTAAGATGCTCAGGTCAGACTAACCAGTCGCTCCAATCACTGCAGTATTAAATTCACTGTTTTTCCTGTCCTTCCATGCCACTCAACACACAACTGGTTCATTCAGACTTTACACAGACCTCAGGGTGGGGAGAGGACATGAAAACAGAAAGGACAACGGGGAAAGAACCCCATTAAGTGTGAGCGTTGCTCTTTTTCAGACAGATTATGGCTGTGACATTGAAAAGGGGAGTGTGTGTACTTACCACCCTGGTGCTGTGCATTGTGTGAGAGCCATCCAAGCCAGGTAAAGAAAATTTTTTAAAACTGCATTATTTTTTTAACGACTCATTCCACCTCAGAGATAGCAGCGTCCCAGAAGACCCACAAAGGTCTCTGGACTCTCAGCCCTCAGGCTCACGGTAACCATTGTTTCCCTCTTATTCAGGTATTGGCCCTCATTGCTGAGGTGAAGTTAAAACCCTAGATTTAATAAACAATTGCATGGTGCTAAACCTTAGAATACCTAAAGGGTTCGAGAGGGATACCTCTAGCTGGGAGGTATCATCTCTGGACATCATATAAAGCTTGGCAACCAAGATATTTAGTGATACTCATTTAAAAAAAGGCAGTAAGTGACCTCTAAACACGAACGGGCTTCACAGAGCTGAACGATGACTTTCTTCTCAACCAGTCCCCGGTATGCAGCAGGACAGCAGTGTTGCTACGACCACACGGGGACCCAGATCCTCACCCGCGACTCCACGGGGGGCAGCACACCCGACCGAGGCCACGACTGGGGGTCACCACCTTTCCTGAAGCCTCCCCGGATACCTGGCTTTTCCCATTGGCTTTACGACGTCATCAGCTTCTATTACTGCTGCCTGTGGTCTGATAATTGTCAAATTTATATGACAAAGCGGGCCTCCAGCGACTGCAGGACCTATCGCCCGCCCCGAGCTGGTAAGGGCTTCAGAATTCCATTACAGAGCGTAGCTTTTGGATGCAGCCTTGGCTTTTAGAATATTTGTACACGCACGTGTCAGCTGCATGTACAATGGGTACAATGAGGGTACAATGTCCTGTGGAAGATTTCCAATGGAAGGTTTCCAGTGATCTATCAGTGGCAAAATCTGTAGGAGGTTTCCAGTTGTCCCGCAAGATTTTTTACTGTTGAGCATCTCATTACCCCCTGGAAGCTAAATAACTGAAGTTTTGTAGTCAATATCCATGACTTCCCATCATCAGTGGGCACTTTGTTACAAAGAAGATGGTTAGGGATGGTTCACGACAGCTAGAAAAGCTGTCATGCTGAAAAATGCTACTCATACAACCATGGAGGCTTTACCATTTACAAGTGTGTCTACTGCTCCTGCCCCTTGCTTTTAAGCAGTCCTGAAGTCTTGCTGTATCTCTGTTGCTGCCATGTCTTTTCTTCTATGCTGCTGGGGTGGTGAGGTGTCCAGCGGGATTGTGGCCTTCTGTAAAGGAAGTGCAAAAAGGCAGTGGTTTGTTTCAGGGAAAAAGGAGAAAACTGCAGAAGGTGCTGAGGGACAGAGGTAGGACATGATGGGACACAACACGAGACTCTCCCAGGACTAGCAACAGTGGAGAGTGGAAGTCTTTTCTGATTTCCCCTATCACCACGATGAGAGACATTTTTTCTCATGAACCTAAGAAGAGAAGTAACGGGTTATGAATTTTGCTTATCTTCTTTCTGTTTTTTTTTTTCTTTTAAAAACAGCATCTGCTTTTGGGGATCCTCACTTCCTCACATTTGATGGTCTGAACTTCACCTTCAAGGGTCAAGGAGAATACACATTGGTAGAGTCTGACCTCACATCCCTGAGAGTGCAAGGGAGGACACAGCAGGTACACTTTCCCAACGGTGAGTTGGTAAGAGAGGAAGCGGTGATGACAAATAACAGCTTCTGAGGTTGCTTGGGTTGCACTTCCTGTCTTCTCTAGTCTTCTCCTTTTTTGCCCATTTGTGAAAGCCCAATGTTTTGAAGCTAATTGGAAGGCAGACAAAACGTTCAGGGAAAAAACAGCTTCCTAATCAAGATTATTTACTTGTTTTAATTGGGTTTGAGTAATGGAAGTGTAAGGTTTTCTGTTGCGTTTAGGAGCTCAAGGAAACTATTCTCATTTCTCTCTGTGCCCATCCCCATCTGGTCTTCTTACGTAGCTCAGCCACTGCCACTGGGATGAAGAATCTAGAATTTCCATGCTTTTTTAGCATTAAACATTCTGCTTTCAATATACTATACAGGTAGAAGACCTATGCTGTGGGTTTTTATGTGACTTATATGCTTAGCAATTCCCTCAAATATAAATAATCACATGTAATTTTAGGAAATATCTGGAGAGTTTCAATATACTATACAGGTAGAAGACCTATACTGTGGGGTTTTATGTGATTTATATGCTTAGCAACTCCCTCAAATATAAATAATCATATGTAATTTTAGGAAATATCTGGAGATAAGGTTTTCTGTTGCGTTTAGGAGCTCAAGAAAACTATTCTCATTTCTCTCTGTGCCCGTCCCCATCTGGTCTTCTTAGGTAGCTCAGCCACTGCCACTGGGATGATGAATCTAGAATTTCCAGGCTTTTTTAGCATTAAACATTCTGCTTTCAATATACTATACAGGTAGAAGACCTATGCTGTGGGTTTTTATGTGACTTATATGCTTAGCAATTCCCTCAAATATAAATAATCACATGTAATTTTAGGAAATATCTGGAGAGGTTTTTTTGCCTGTATCATTATAACCTTCCCCATTTGCTCTATGTCACATCTATGTGATTTATATGCTTAGCAACTCCCTCAAATATAAATAATCATATGTAATTTTAGGAAATATCTGGAGAGTTTTTTTGCCTGTATCATTATAACCTTCCACATTTACTCTATGTCATATCTATTGGTATTCTGAGGGGCTGTTTTTTCCCTTGGAAGGCACTGGGGCTGAGGTGACAGGCCTGGCTGCGGTGGCCGTGCGGGAGGACAACTCCGACGTGGTCGAAGTGCGCTACTCCAATGACTCCAGTCTGCAGGTCCTGCTGAACCAGCGGGTCGTCGACTTCTCCGAGCAAAATTGGCTGGACCTGAAAGGTTAGTTACAAATATCAGCCTTGTAAGTTATTGTATTCCAAGAGAGCCCATGTATCATTAAAAATATCTCCAACTGCATGTGTTTAGGCTCTCTCTGCAGTGTCCTTTTGCAAAAGAGGCTGCGGGTCACTCTCTGCTACTCCATAGCAAGCATCTTACTGCAGTTGTAGGTATGAAGATGTGGCCTCCCTTTAAATGCTTCTCGGAACGTAGCCCAGAGTGGAAGGGAGAAAAAGCTTTATGAAAAATGGTTAAAACTAATGGCACAACAATCTGTTCACTATGGATGATTAACTATTTTGTTCTCTTCTTCTCGTTGTTACAGGCCTCTTTCTCTATTCTGCAGCTGATCAGAAGATCACAGCAATGTTCTCTTCTGGCTCTGGAGTGGAAATAAGGGGAATTGGAGGATTTCTGACTGTGACAGTTCTCCTCCCAGAGAAGTTTATGAATCACACACAGGGTCTCTTTGGGGTAATGAATGACAACACAGAGGATGACTATACCTTCAGGAATAAAACCACCATGTCAGTTCATGCAAGTCCCCAGCAGGTGTTTGAGTTTGGAGCTAACTGTAAGTTGTTCCTCTGGCTTATTATTATGTTTTCTTTAGAAATTCAAAACAGCTTGTGATTTACAGACTAGCAAATGACGTCTGTGTTAAGCAACCTACACTGGGGGAAGAGCAGGGAGTAAGAGAAGTATGCCCTCCTCTACCCAAGTGTGTAATGGATCTAGCCAAATGATTGAAGGCAGAACCATGATGGAGTGTCCTGCACTTTGTTCCATCAAGAGTCATATTTGACAGCTTCCACTTTCAGTTTTCCATTTACTGTGGTCAGCTTAGTGTTAAGATGCTGCTTATGAAAAAGAAAAATAATCTTGATTGGAAGGAAGCTGTAGGGCTTCGTAGATCTCTGCCAGCTCTAGCTACGTTTACACACTTGGATTAGTAGCAGAAGGTGGTCCAGGTCTGAACACGATGTTATGTATGAATCTCTCTCTCTTTCTTTCTCCATCTCCCAAGGGGCTGTTGAAAATGGAACTTCTCTCTTTACTTATGACACGGAGTCCCTACTGAATGACTTCGTTTACCAGGAAAAGCACAATGCTTCCTTTCTGCCCGTGTTCGTTCCACATGAAGACCCTGCTGATCCGCTGGTGGAAAAAATGGTCTTGCTCTGTGACTCTGACCCCTTCTGCAGATTTGATGTCCTGACAACAAGAAATCTTGAAGTGGGGAATTCCACAAAACAATCCCATCAGAATCACAAGCTCCTGGTAGAAAATCTAAAGCCAGGTGATACAACATTCTACAAAGCATCCGTCACTGCGGTTCTTTCTGCAGGGCATGTAAATAGTTAACGTTGTTTGGGGAGGCTTTGCTCACCTGCAGGTCCATGCATCTGTAAACACTCTTATCGGGAGGAATTGTCCTTGTATCAGGAAAACTCTGCACTGGTATGATAGTTAGACAACACAGAATAAATTTCTTTCCATTTCTTCCACCATTACACCATGGTGTAGAACCCTTAACTTCATTTTCTATGCCTTCACCTGTCTTCCTTGGACTTAAAAACCAAAAATTGAAAAAAAATCAGAAAGTATTGTCTTTCAGTTAGCCTAAAAATCTTTACCTTTTCATGAGTTGCCACTAAAACTCCATTTAAATCGTTGTGATGGAGATTTGCTAGTCCAAACCCAAAATCCTTTAACCAGATATGTCTCTTTTACCAGTGATCTCTTGTGGCTGGCTGGGTCACCCAAACAACGGGATGAAGAACGGAACTAACTACCTGCTGGGCTCGACCATCAGTTTCACCTGCAATCAGGGCTATGCACTCAGCGGGGCGAAGGAAAGAACTTGCCAAGTGACGGGGACCTGGTCTGGAGACACAACCACCTGCGTCAAGACAGCAGGTCTGTTTCCTTTTAAATGTCACAAATTAACATGAAAAATTCATTATCACAAAGAAGGCAACCCCAGTACCTGATGATGGTCCTTGACAAAAGCAACTTCTCTTACTTGGGAAGACACTGGACATGAGATCCCTGGGTTTCCAGAAAGGCTAATATTCAAATCTAAGTAACAGGTGGTATATGGTGGTTTTGTGGTTGTTTTTGTTTTACTTGGGAAGACACTGGACATGAGATCCCATGGTTTCTAGAAAGGCTAATATTAAAATCTAAGTAACAGGTGGTTTATGGTGGTTTTGTGGTTGGTTTTTTTTTATTTAATGTATCTACTCTTTCTAAGGGTTTAGGGCTATTCACTTCCCTTTTAGTTTTAGTGGTTTAGCTGAAAGGAACCTAAACCCTCCTGTGATTCGAGAGCAGACACGCTGGTTGCAGGTTTCCACTCTTTGTTCCAAAGGATTATGTTACCTCCAAACATGATGTATTATTCTGTAGCAGTAAAATTGTTGTGAATGATATAATAGTATTTAGTATAAATAGGAGAAATTTATTACCCCTCTGGTGTCACTACCATTAGATTACCAATTAGCCTGGGATTATTGGATTTAGCAGCAGTTAGGCTGTCTCTACGATCTACAGGAAACTGCCCAGCATTTTCTGACAGTTTCAGCTTTGTTTTATTCACACACCACGAACACTCCAAACGTCCTCAAGATGGCAATGTTTCAAAGCACCAGGGTGAGGCAAGGCCACACGGCAGCGTTGAAGCACTTTTAATGCGAAGCTAATTGTTCCTGAAAGTACTCGTCAAATAATTCGTATCAACAGATTCTCCGTTCTGAGCACTTTCCAGAGAAACGTGGAGAGTGCACAAGGCACTGGCAATGAATTCTTGGCCAGGTGACACATCTCATCAGGGAATGCTGCTTAATTTTAAATAGATGAGTGAATGTTCATGGACTGTTGCACCAGCCATTGGTAGTAATCAATATGCAACTGGTTGTGTTCCCAGGGCCAATCTCAGTAGTGATGCTATTTTGGAAAAAGTGAAATTAGAGGTATTTCAGAACACTTCTGTTTAATATGATAGGCCAGAGCATACAGAGTACTTTAGTTGAAAATACGAGAGATTCAGAAGTCTAGCAGATAATTCAGCATGCTTCATAGTTCACAGTAATAACAGATCGGCTGCCAAAAGTCTGAGAAGAATGACATCTTCACAAAATAAGGCCAGATCTTAAAAAGTCAGTGGCAAAACATTTTGCCAAGCTGAAAGCTAAGAACATTTTTCCATTGCTGCCACCAACCACATACGCACTGGACAGGAGCCAGCCAGGCTCAATAAGCAAACTGGATGCTGACATTTGCACTAGAGAAAGGGGGGCAAAAAGCCAGTCCTGAGAGATGGGAGGGAAGGAGTTGGAGGATACGCAGAGATTAACTGCATCCAGAGCGATGGAGACGTGCCACAGCTTTGTGGCTAAACAAACAAAAACTGCAATATTTTCCAGCACATGGTTTCCGGAAAGATGACAAAGAACAACAAGGTGTGGAAGAATTTTCTTGATCCAATTGTAACAAAGACCTTCCTTATTATTTGATATTTGGGGCTGCATTTTTGAAATGTAAGCCAAAAATGATGATTTTTATCAGCCTCAAGAAGCTGGAATATGGCAATGCTGCCACAGCAGCAGGATACTAACAGCTGAGTGAGAAATTGTAAGATACAAATTGCATACACAGATCTTCATTCTTTTTTTTTTTTCAATGCTGTGCCCTAACAGTGCCAACCACATCTAGACTTGTTCCTCCTTTTGCATCATAAGATTTGTTGCTGGACATCAGTCTCTGTCTGAGAAGGTCATTTTATTGATAGGTCCATGTCTCTCCAGACAAGATAGGCAAAACTGTTCAAAGTTCTTCCCACTTCTCTCTAAACCTCTAGCACTTTCATAGCGTGGAAGCCAGTACTCACTTTCCACTAAAGACATTTCTTCCTCCGGTCTAAAACACAGATGAAACACAGTTTTCCTTGTGTTGATTCTGAATTCGGCATAAATACAAAACAGATCTTGATATTGTCAAAACTGTTGTTACTGGGATCAGTTTTCTTCCCTGTTTTCCTCTCCCTGCAGCAGCACACAGCTGTTTTGCCCATGTCCCATTTTACCGAGCCCTGTGACAGAGGAGCTTCTCCATGCCAGGAAAATGCTGACAAAATTAATGGACGGCACTTCCAAATTTCTGGGCGCCTGAACGGGTGACCACTGACCGAGCCACTGCCATTAGTGGTCACATTTCTACTTCCAGCATGAACTATTAAAATGCACTTTTTCAAATTATTTCTTTCATGCTGGTGTAGGACACAGGGACCAGCCCTCTATTATTCTCGGCTTCCAGGGGTGCTTCTGTACAGCGCTGAGCCCGTTACACTTGCTGCAGTTCCGTGGCACAGCAGATTCAACCTCTCTGTTGCAAATCACTGAGGGTGTTTTAGCTGCTGTATGCTTTGTTTTTTGCAAAAGCTAAACCAGATAAAATATAGGCATGAGGTCTGGGAAAACTGGATAGGAAGAGAGGCGGAAACAAGAAAATTAAACACCAGTTATTTTGCAAAATCCATTTCTGTATTTGAAATTTCAAATACAAATTACGCTGTTGGGCCTGCATATTGTTGCTTTTGAGTTTTGCTTCCTTGAATTAAAGTTTCCATGGAAATCCTCTGCTAATAATTATTTTGCTATGCTTCTAATTACAATCCCACTGCAAGTCTTGCCAGTACCACAGCAACCTCCCTTCACAGAATATCGCAGAAAGGCAGAAAAAGAAACCATTCAGCAAAACCAAAGAGGAGAATTGAGTAAAAACAGAAGTAAAGTGCAGCTAAAATTTATAAAACCTTAGCAATATATATATAGAGAGAGTCTCTTTGTGACAGACAATAATTTGGTGTTACCAAGTGCAATCTGATTTTGTCTGTCTTTTTTTTTTCCCTCTTCTCGTCTCACTTTTAGGTTTCATTTTCCAGGCGCAGGCTCTGTGTAAATTCAATTCTTTTTGGAAAGTTGTCAGAAATCTCATTAGCCTTCTGCACTTTTTTTTTTTTTCAGATGAGGATGCCAAAAAACATTAGGTCTTCTTATTATTATGGAATTGTTGTCTGTCTATTGTTTCCATTAGACTGGTTGCAAAACATGAAATATAACCTGAGATTATAAATTAAATACAAAGATTTCACACTAGAGGCAAAACACCACTGGCAGTTCTACATAAATACTGTACATTTATGATGTTGACCACACATTCACCACTGGCCATCCTTGCTTTGTGCTAGAACAGCTTCTGCAGCCACCTCCCCTGACTGTCAAATTAGGAATTACGTGAGTTCCTACTCTTTACCAGTTTCTGCCACAAATACAAAGCACAGTAAAATTAACACTATATGTACAATTTAAAAAAAACTGTCCTATGTGACTACATTCAAACAGATAGGAAGAAATGTACCAGTGTCTCCCTGTTTTGATGTGGTTTGTCTCTGCTTTTCAGATATCAACCAAATGATTGTTATTGGCTGTGTATTTGGAGTAGCCGGTCTTGCAGTCCTGGCGCGGCTGATTTTCCTGTGTAGGAAAGAGAGGTAAGACCCAACTGAACTGAAAACATAAATGAACCTGCTAAAGAAAACAGAAAGTGTTGTGACCTTTAAAATAATTTTTCTCAATATCAAAGCAATCAAACATGATATTCTCCTGCTATGATCTTTTATGAAAAAAATCAAATCTGAATAGTCTTTGTGTCCTGCTGGATGCCTGTGAAGCAAAACTGGAATCGTATTGTCAGGACACACAAATATTTGATTGATTGATTAATTGATTAGAAACCGGATATTTTGGTCAAAATAATTTAGTTGCTGAGTGATAAGGCTACTTGCTTAAAAGTGTTCTGTTTCAGAAGAGGCGTGCTCATGACACCAATAGGTAAATTTGATGTATCATCGAAGGAATGCATTGCCTGATAGTGTAACTTTCCACATATCTTTGAACATAATGTTTTTTGCATATATAAAAATGTATCGACAAAGGACACCTCCTGTATTTGCCAATTTTTACACACACTGGATTTCCACATATAAACACAACTGCTTACAACACTAGTATTACAGCTGCACGGGCTTCTCACATTTGGGAGCAGCTCATGGAACCGATACTCTAAATTCATCACCGTACATCAAAAAAGAATTAAAAAACCAGAACGAAGCCATCAATTACACAGAACCCACACTTTAAGAATTGGTGCAACATTACTATTCCACCTAACCCAATATTCTTCTCACCTTGATCTAAGTGATGACATCATGGTAACTACTTCAATGGTCAACTCTAGCCTTTTAGGGTTTTAATCTTTTTCTTTGTCTTTTCTCCCAAAGACGCAACGCCAAGCAGAAACTTCTTTCAGAGATTTGAGTTGCATCTGAGCAAGAAACAACGAAATTCCAGAAGGGTTTTTAATGAAATAAGAAAAAGCACGGCAGAGGATTAAAACGTCCACAGCAACAAAGATAGACTTCCAAAAAGATAGACTTTCCGAACACAAAACACTGGTTTCATACAGTATGCTCTTGTTTGATTTCTGCTTTTGATGTAATGAGTGTGGAATTGTACGGGAAAGGATAACCAAGGTCCTGGGATGACGTGGTGGCAGGCTCAGCCTACCGTCTGCCGGGAGCAGAGGATAACGCTCCCGAAAGCATCACTCTCCAAGCCACGGGTGTTAATTTGAAGTCGGTCAAATGAAGAGAATCAAATGCTAGCCATCAGCAGAGAAACATTTGCCTGCTCTGGGGCCACGTGAGGCTGATTTAGATAGATGGGAAAGTGGACACACCAAGACAGAGTACTGGCAAATGGGGCTGAATTTGCAGATTGTTGGGGTTTTTTTTAGTATGGAGAAATATTGTAGGTATTTAAACATAGAGTTCTTATATTTTGGCAATACAGACTCAAAGTGGCGTTTTTATTTCAGTTCTGACCAAATTTTAAAAAGATTACAATTGGGAGGGAAGGAGGGAGGGGAAGGACTCAGAAAATGAAACCTTTCAACCTTTCCTTCCAGGTTAACTTCTAATGATTTTTTGTTTTTTTTTAAATCCATCTTTACTCACTGTCCAATTGGAGTCCATCTTCAAAACTGGAAACGTTTGGCAAAACTTGCAATGTTTTCCTTGAATAACTGCAACGTGCATACTGTTTCTGTTTTAATACCTGGTTATATTACGGTGTGGTTCATTATCCTCATTAAAACCCAATTTCTGAACTACCACCTTGGACAGAATCCTTTTTCCAAAACCAACCACCACTTGCTTTTGCCTACACCCCAAAGGGTTTGTGAAGTCAGTTCTGTGCCATGCAACTCTTCCGACAGTGAAAGAATTACTGACTTCTCAGCTCTTTGTCTCATAAACTACTGGAAAATCATGGTGGTTTCAAAAAGCAAGGACAAACTATGCACCAAATGTACAGGGAAACTAAATGAGTGAAGCAGTACAGATTTTACATTACAATGGGAACAAGACAAATTGAAAGAAACATCTCAGACAATGTATTATGAAGTATAAAATTATTCATTACTTATTAGCTGCCATTGCTGCTGCCATTGTTGTTTGTAAGCAGAGACCACAAACCACAAGCAGAAAATTACAAAATGAGAACAAGTGATCTTGAATACTCTAAGTTGAAAGAGAAACGATTCTCTACAACAGAAAAGGAAGAAAAAATCTTGTAAAGAAAACCTGAATTTTGCAAAAAGAGGAGGGGATGATCATTGGCAATAAGCTGGGGCTTCATTGCCAGTGTGCTAGAGTTTAAAATAAAAAATTAAAAAGGGCAACAACTGTATACACAGGTATCAACTGTGTGGGGAAGGGAGGCAGCAGAATGAACGGCAGTGATTGTGCCTGGGAGTGCTGGAAGACTGAACCGGCCTTTCCGGGATATAGAAGGTTGACTTTGGGAACTTCGTTATCAGTGTTAAAAATTCATAAGTGTTCTCTGTTCCCGTGTCCTTAAGGAACAGAATGCCAGATAAAACGGAATCGAAATCGGGTGAACGGGTCCAAGTCCTTGGAGAGGAGAATTTTGTGGGTCATTAAATCATGAAGTAGTAATGTCTCCTGCGCTGTTAGACAGCCTGTGCCACAAGGAAGTGCTGCTTGCACACACAATGGCTTGTGAAAGAACACTCGCAGCACTTATGTCAGTGGCTCAGGCTGGGGAGGGAATATATGGGATGAATTAGAACTCCGGCCCCTCCTGAAAAATTTGTGCATTAATCTAAGAACACAGTTGATTTCTATGAATCAGAATTATTTGGCTTATCCCATCATAAACAAAGCAGTGGTCGAAACAAACATCCACCCCCAGCATAAGCTGTTCCTTCTGCTCCGTCTCCATAACTCTCCCATCACAGTGAGCTCTAATTCCCTGGTTTATACACACACACACACACATATAAATACACACACATATACACACACACACACACACATCTATTCAGTGGCAACAAAATCACGTCTGCTCTTGTGCAACCAAAGTTCAGGATGAGGAACCGCAGCAGAATTTGTGAGCCCAAGAGCTGAGCATGCTTATATATCACATGTGTTAGGAGGAATTAAATATTTCCATATTTACCATTAAAAAAAAAAAAAAGGCATAACACCAAGCTAACAGAGCACTGCTAATGTTTTTCAACATTTCATCAGCTTAAAACCTCTGCATTCAGTAGGAGTTTAGCTCAAAGAAATAAGAATGTGGCACATTACTATGCTGTGCTATAAAAAATACATATAAAGCCACGCTAGTATGTAATCATTTTTCTGGGCTTTTTTCAGATACGTTGCAAAGGCCAAAAGAAATTTAAGCATGTTTTTTACCTCAAAACCAACCTTTGTATGATAGGAGGCTTCTGCATGGTGCGACGGCCCATAGTGCGTATGGGCACAGTCCCACAGACTGGATTTTGGTGCTTTCTCTTTCAGGGCAGGGAAATCAAAATTTAAACCTGAAATGTAGACGCCGGCAGGTGCCACCCTGCTGCACCGCGAAGGGGTGAAGATCTACAAGGACAAGAACAAAGCAGGTCCTGACAAAGCAAGTGCCACCTTCTGTGAGGGGTTTTTTTGTGAGGGGTTGGTGGTTGGGTTGGGGTTGTTTTTTCCCTGTTGGTTGTTTTTTAGCAAAGAAGCGCTGATGTTGCTCAAACATCTCAGAGGTCACCTAATGACCTTTCTAGAAGTTGAGACTTTAGAATCAGAGAATCATAGAAGGGTCCTGCTTGGAAAGGACCTTTAGGATCACCGAGTCCCACCACCAACCCAAACCCACCGCTGACCCGTGTCCCCCAGCGCCACAGACACCTGGGCTTTTTTGGTTACCTTTGCTGTCTGCATGTAGGTGGGAAAAAAGGGGAAAAAATAACCCAAACCAACAAAAATCTACCTTTCTGCATGTACATTCACCATTCCCAGAAAGCAGCACTGCTTATCTCTGTCAGTCTGCGGTCTCTGCGTGTCCGTGTCACCGAGGCCACGCGTGTCCCCTCACGGGCCACTCTCTGGGTGCCGGTGGCACTTTGTACCGCTCTTTTCCCCTTAACCCCCCCCGTTCGGTGGGCGAGGGGACCCGGGTTGCCCCCTACCCCCCCGGTACCCCCCTTGGGCGGCGGGATGCGGGTGGGAGCCGGGAAAGCTCGGCACCTCGCCGGGGCGCGGCGGCGGGACACACATGCCGTAGGGCCGCCGCTCTCCGCACTTGGCGCTCTCCCGGCCCGCCCCGGCCCCCCTCAGCCGCCCATGGAGCCCCCCGCCCTCGCCGCCGCCCTGGCCCTCTCCGGGCTGGCGCTGAGCTGCTGCCGGGACCCGCTTCTCTCCGGTGAGTGAGGGAGTGAGGAGGGAGGGAGGCGTCGCGGTGCTGGGGGGGCCTTTGGGGCCGCTCTGTGAGGGGCGAGGGAGCCGGGCAGTTCTTCCCCGGACCCCGCAGCCCCCCTGCCTCCCGCCGGCACCTCACGGAGGTGGCCACGGCGACCCTTCCCGCTCGGTGCGGGGCAAGGAGTGTTGTGGGGGGGCGATTTTCGTGCGGGAGGGTCTGCGGGAGCGCGGAGACCTGTGTGAGGGCGTGAGGGGGAGGGAGAGGGGCAGCACCTTCGGCCGCCGGAGCGGTTCGGTGGCCGGGTCTGGGGGGGGGACAGGGCAGCGCGGGGTCTGGGGGCACCGGGTGTCCCCAACGGGACTCACTGGGAAACCAAATCACGGGTGGCAGCGGGGGAGAATCGGGCCCCGCAGCGTGGCCACCTCACCTGTCCGCAGCGTGCCACCCCGCGACCCCTCAGGTGCTCGGCCGGCCAAGGGATGGGGGGGGCCCGGAGCTTCGCTACCTGTTGGGGTGTTTTTTCCCAATTTCTCCGGACCCTTTTGTCCTCGCCTCCCTTGTCACTGGTGTTTTCAAGCACCAGAGGGGCCGTTCCAGGTGGTCGTGGAGTCACAGCCATCAGGTGCAAGCTCCTCCAGGGCACGTTTTGCCTATTCTAATAGTTGTTATTCTTTATAACGTAGAATTTGCTCTACTTCCTTTTGCCACAAGCAAGATATCTGCTCATCAAGTTTTTGCAGATGCGCCTAATTAGATTTGGAAAACACTTGCATAGACCTTCTTGGGGGGGGGAAGAAAAAAAGCCTTTTACCAGAAAGGGAACTCAGAAGGTAAACTTTTCAGAAGTTACCTGAAGTGGGTAAAATGTGGGAGTATTTTTGGATAAGCATGTAGAAAGCTTAGAGAGGGACATGTCTAGACCATGTCTAGCGGCGCTCCCGGTACCCCTAGGACATGTTTGGTGCACACAGTAGGTCTTCTTTCCTTTGCTTTAGTCGGAGAACGTCTTCTCGGGAAGGTTTGTGGGCAGAGCTGGGGACAGAACACCCCGTGTGTGACCACCTCCCTCCCTGCCGGCTGCGTGGCAGCGAGTGGGGACAGACCCCAGTGACGGGGTTTGGTTCGAAGGCAACTGAGAGGATTCTCTCTGTTCACACACCTGCACTTCCAACCTCTAATGGCGTGTGCTGGTGGCCACCGAAGGGAGAGAAACACCTGAGCACAAGCAGCTGGGGCAGGGGGAGAGGGAAGGATATAAAATGCCTCCAATTAGGGGTGGGGGGGCAAAGGAGAGTGATCTTGGAAAGTGCTAACACCTGTGTGTCTTCTGCTAAAGAAGCTGGAAACAGCGCAAACCTGGACTTCAACAGCGACTTCTAATTCGTAGGGCAGGTACGAAATCTGCAGAGTTGCTAACCTGTGCAAACCGTACCTCAGGGTCTTCTTCTTGACCCCCCCAATCCCACAGGACCAAGAGGGGGTTGGTTGGGTCAGGGTGCACCTGAAGCCGGCAGAAATCTGAAATGACAAACAGTAACATGTCTTTTGTAAGGCCGTTTGTCACAGGGTATGTTTTTAATGCCTGTTCCATTTCTATCAAATGCATTTCTTACTAGATTTATTGTAAAATGCAGTCGAAATACAGACTGTGTCTCACCGTCATTTGCTAAGACAGGAGAGAAACTTTAACTTCTGGGATTGCCTTATGAAAAATGACTCCAATTGTCGGCAATTAGAGGGAGTTAACAATCGTTTTTGCGCACAGCGCTGTGCTACTTCTCACAGAATGTTTCTGCTTCTCTCTGGGATGTCTTACAGCTCCCATTAATCCAAACACTGACATTTGCAGCATTCAAACTTCAGTCATACCACATTTCTCAAGTGAATCAGAAATAAGAGATGGGTGAATAGATTGCCTAACATTAAAGGACTGTCTGAATTTGGTGAGTTTTGTATTACAAGGCCAAAGAGATGGAAATGCCTTCGGCAAATGTTAGTTTCAGTGAACAAACGTTATTTTATATGCCCAGTGCAATAAGATCTCACTTCTAGTTTCTGTATTTATAGCGTTCATTTAGTTTCTCCATCAGAAATGTGTATGATTATCAGTCTGTCTTTCCTTTCCCTTCAGCAGTACTGGCTCACCATGTCCTGGGTTTTCTTCCCAGCTGAGTCTCTCCTTTGAGCTGCTGTTTCAGCCTTCTCTCACAAACCTTCTATCTCGTCATCTTTTTCTGTCCATGTCTGGCTGATTCAGAGAAGCAGTTCTACTAGATATGCCTTAAGCAATCGTCATGGAAATACTCGAAAAGCCATTTCTAAACCAGACAGATAGAAAATGAAATAGTTAGTCCGACACTTCAGCATGTCATGCTTGTACATGCATAGAGCGTAACTCAAAAATCCGGAGTTGTGGGAATGGATTTAGGCAGGATGGAGCCGAAGAAGTGGGAGGGAGGCAGGGATTACACGGTGCCAGCTGCTCAATGCGAATTCTTTGTCATATCACACCATCACGGTTGTACTATTGACCGCTCCCTCCATCCCCACGGTGGCCATGGCCCATCCTGATAAAATTTCCAAAGGGATTGAGTCTGCCACGCTTGACAATGGAACAACAGTTCAAAAACTTCACAAAGAAAGAAAACAAATGGGTGTATTAAGGAACAGGAATTCTTAAGGGGCCACATCATGCATTCTTCCTTCCAGTGATAAAGAATCACAAGGACGAGCAAGTGTGTTTCCGTCTTGCGGCTTGGGACCGGCCAGCAGCTGCAAAGCTGTGGCTAATCTACCATGTTTGTATTGCACAAATAAAGAGAAAAAAGGTACAAAATACATACTTTTAAGCATTAGAAATAATGATGACTGGTTCTCATGCTCATAGCCTAAACTGCTTGCTTCCAACATATTCCACAATGGGTCTGGCCAGTCAAATAGCATTTACCTTTTTTTTTTTTTTTCCTTTAAAAACAAAAAAGGAAGAGCGATGAAAAGGTTATTAGCTTGGAGGTTAGTAATCAAAGTTCCACAAGAACAGAAAGATCACATATATAACAACTCACATAGGGAGCACAGGTACGGAACTGCACATGTCTGTACATTCCCAGGAATGCACATTCTCACAGGGCAGACAGATGCTCAAGTCAAGGTTTGATCAAACATCAGGTGAGTATTTGCTGTGATGACTCTTTGGTTTGGATCAATGCTAAATAGAGGTGATTTTTAAACTACACACAGAGAGCCCCGGCGCTGCAAAGGAGGACACCAAGTGGTGAGCATCACATCAGAATTTAACTGGCAGATTTACCAGATGGGGAGTTATTTCCTAGCAATTCTGAAAATTGCAATTTTAAACAAAGATCGTTCTTTCCTGAGGTTTTTTTTTCCTGAGTTTGTATCAACATTGTGGGTTTTTTTGCTGTTACAGTACAGGCACTCAAACCTGATCATTTTGGCATAAGGGCCTTTGTTGTATTAGTATTAACTGGAATAGGAAATTTAAAATGCTGCACTAGTTTTTTGCCTGGGTAGGTCTAAACCAGCCTGATACTTCCCCAAAACATTTATTTTGCACTGTAACATCCTATGGAATGAGCTGGTTTTTTCCCTGGCCAATGGTATGGCAGTACACAAACCAGCTTTTGGTTCAATCGATAAAACTGCGTCTTCAAAGCAAACCATTGCACTGCTAAAAATATTTTTAATAATGACCACAGAAGCCATATTTGTCTCTTTGATCTCCTGAAGCTTCTTCTGGTTTTAATCAGTGTTCCCACATGAAGAACTGTGGCAACCTATGATAATAGAATCCCTATTCGCATCCGTAGGGAAACAGAAACGTTCTCATCCGAAGAAGGTAATTTGGTGGTGTTCTGCCCCTTCCACCCCCGGCCCCTGCCTCTGTCACTGCCGGGGTATCTTGGCATCACTTAAGTGGTTTCTGCCCTTTCCTCTGTGCGTTGCTCTCTCATTGAAGTGTTTCTGCTGTCTAATTATACCCTTTCAATCAAATTAGAGGCTGCAGCATCTGGTTAGTGCCTGTAACTGTTGCCATCTGCACCTAGATACAGTGCTTTCATTTAAGGAGGAGTGCTTAAATCACAGTCCCCAGCAAGAACGAGGAGAGCAGTGGAGGTAGAATGGAAATGGCTTAAAACCCGTCTTAGAACACCGCACGAGCACATGCATCAGGCGACCGACACCTGGTCATTACCGGACCCAGCACCTCCGGTTCCAAATTCTCATTTTCTGCCCCAGCATTTTTCAGGCTCCTCTGAAAGGCCGTAAGAAAAGCAAGGGAGAACTGAGCAGGCACTTGTAGGAACCAATCTTTCTTGCTCCAGCCTTGCAGAACGTTTCATGTTCTGGCTGTCACACCACTGTAATGAAACCCAAGATTTAAATAGCGGGTACTTTCATTTACCTTTCATTAATCTGCAGATTTTTAAGAGAAAACCTTGCATCCCATTTGGCAGTAGTCGGTAGGGTGATTTCTGGCCTGGGTAGGCTAGCTTTTGAGAATTGTCAGCCTTTCATCTCTCCGGCCACTAGCCAGCACTCCAAGTAGCTTCCAGAACTAAAAGCAAACAAAAAAAAGTAACTTTTTTTTTTCAGTGAAATAGTAGCAAGTTTGTCATTCTGAATTTTCTGTCTCAAAAGCTATGTACACGCCCCAACCTTAGAGGAGTACTCTAAGAAGTCACTTAAACCATCCTGAAACCTCCATCTCTTCAGCCTGCAATTTCTAATGTCACTAAATATATGTCTCTGAGAAAATACGGGCTTTGGAGAATGCTCAGAAGATTTATAAGATTTCCCACTTGTCAGCCAGGAAAGGAAGAGTGTTTGAGCAGTGGATAGCTGCTTTCTCTGCTTTTCATCCCATCTGTAGAGAAAAGGCTGCAGATGAAATTCCAGTGTTCGTATTGTTTCTGTCTGTGGTAATGTGGCACGAAATGAGAGTTTCTCAGGTAACTGGGCCTCTTGCCATTAAGGACTTCAGAGATTAAAACCAATATTTGGAAGTCCGTCTCAGAAAACCATTGGAAGCCAGCACAGACCCCAAAATGTCAGTGTTCTATCATCAGTGCTTCATTCAGTAAAAAAGCCAGTCTGTTCTATTCTGCACTACCTTAATTTTTCAAATGACGCTAAAGTGGCGCCCATGTGGAGCGCAGGCAGCCATACAGTCCCAAAGTAACAAAGGCAGAAATGATCATTGTAAGGTCCCTACATCGAAGAAGAAACTGAGACAGATGGAAAAAATTTCTACTACAGCTGCTGTTTGATCTTCCAAATGTTGATCTGGCTCTAATAAAACTAATTGTGAACCTGTATCACACACTGAGCATTCACTCAGAGTGGACAACCATCCCCAGGCTTATTTTCTGCTTTTTCTTTCTAGCAGTTGCCGCTCAATACGTACTTATCTAGTCTCAGTGTTAATTTAAAAAAAAAAAACAAAAAGAGTTATTTTTCTGTCAACCATGGCACCTGACGTGTTGAAAACAAACCAGCCCTGACAACACATTGCTCTCCATGTTTTCTCACTCATACGCCTGATCCTGAACAGGACCTGCTGGAACCTTCCAGCTTTCCAGGACTAGGGCCACTGCAATGGTTCTGTCTGATTAATCCCATTTGCAGACATCCCCATGAAACAGTAGAAGCAGCAGGGTCATTAAGTAGTTCAAATAGAGTGAAGTCATCACAGAAATTTATGTCAATCATGGATTTGACCAAGCCTTTACTTCAGAATATGTCTGAAACCCAGCTGACTGAGAGCTGAGAAATAGGAGATTGGAGACTTCAAGATTTGAATGGTCACAACTTCCTCTGTGTACTATCTAAACCCCTGGTGATTTAATACAGGTTTATGGTTGTAAACTGAGCATGAACTGTGTGCATGGATGGAAACAACGTGACAAATCCATCCAGCCCAGTGGCACCCTGATGCCTTCTAGGAAGCCACCAGCTTTAGCCTCCACAGCGCTCCTGTTCTTCCCTTCACCACCCAGAAAGGACTAGGATACAGTGCAAGTTCTGTCATAGTATACCACAGTTTTACAAAACTTGAAGGAATAAGGCTTGCTGAAATTCATGGAGATGATATTCATTTCCTGGAGCCACCATTTGTGATGTTAGATTCCAAGCGAAGGCCTTCATGGCCTACAGTAACATGGAGGCATCAACCAGCAGGCCGCTGGACCCGGTGGGTACCAGAACAGTAAAGGAGAGGTGGTTGGTGGCGGTTGTTTTATTTTTTTTTCCCTTCCCATCTACATGATCATAATCTACCAAAGAGAAATCAGATAATTTGAGTAAGCCCAAGAGTTTTACCAAGAGTGCTCAGTCCGCTCTTTTCTGACTGTTCTATTTAGATGACCTCTTCCGTATTAGTTTTGTGCAGACAAATCTGGCTGGCCTTTTTTAAGCTCATCTTTTCCCAAAATGATTGCACCAGTGGTGCAAGGCAAAAAGGATGGAGGTTCTAACCTCCTCCAGAATCTCTTAGGACATTTGTCTTTAAAGGGCAGCCTCCGGATTTGAAATGGAGAGGACAGTGGCCTGTCTGCAGGTGAAACCTTCACTTTGTACCTTCACTACATCTGAACATTAAATTCATTGCAAGATCGCTAAGGTAGTGTCTTGGCTGCCGTGCAGCAAAATATGGTGAAATCACTATGTGTGATAAATAGAAGAATTCAGCGGTTTACTGCCAAGATATTGAATATGCTGAGAGATCTGCATCCATGTTAGCAGGAATTTTATAGAAAACTGGACAAAATACATTGCAGCAGATCTCAAAGCTGTTCAAGGCAAAAGACTGAGCGCCTGATTTTTAAATGCTAGTACTTACTTGAATAAATTGCACTCCATTGCTATGGCAAAATTATCATTAATCATTAACAAAATGGAAATTTCATAGCAAATTCCCTGTAACACGAAGTTCACATATTTCATTTGCTAACAGACGCTAATTTCCATAACTTAAAGTTTCCATTTCAGTTTTTCTGGGATAATCAATGGTTTTACGTTGGGTATCACGGCCTCCCCCTTCCACAAAGCCAGGAGAGCTTCACTACAACCCGGCCGGCACATTTTCCCCAAATCTGCGGGTCGTGCAGGGAACACAGGAGGCTCCGTCACAGCTACCTGTTGTCTGGGGAACAAAAACCTACAGCTCAGAGGAACAGAGAGAGCTCCGACTCTTCCTTTTGTGCAATGTCCTTACAGTACTAGGGTAGCGAAGTTTGAAGAAAATCTATTTTTAAAAAAAGCTGACATGAAAATGAAAGGCAGTTGCTGCTGCAAGTTAAAGCATGGGCCAGTCTTAGCAGATGCTAAAACGGGCCGATGTTAACTTCGGCTGAGCCTGTGTGCCAGATCGCATTCAGGTATTGTAGCATTCCTTACATTTCTGAGCAATGTTAGTACATATTGCTTCTCCTTTAGAAGTGAGAAGCAAAAAAAATAAATGTTACAGCACTAAGCTGGAGTGGACATTTTTCTTGGATGTGTTTATCGCTTCTCACAACTGATTCTTTATACTGTACGTTATTTTGTTTATCCGGTTTGATTATGTTTTCCTCTCTTTTCCACCAAATTCATCAGCTTATATTTTTCACCTATGGCACAGAAAAACTTCTACATTAACTGCAAAGCAAGAGACGTATTGAAGAAAGTTGCAACACTGTGGTGGCTTTAAAGTGGGTTTTTTTCATATGTTTATGCAAATATCTGTGGTGGCCTAAATACTGGAAACTCAGATTTGCATTTTCCAGTGAATTTCTGTAGCTCACCTGCATGGCTAAGGCAGTCAGGTAAATTACAGTAAGGAGGAGTATTGACTTGAAGCTTGTTTTTGTTAAATTTGATAGCTTTCTGTCCAAGGATGATAGCAGTGTACATTCATGGCTGTGCAGACACCTCTCCTGTGTGCCTTCAGCAACAAAATTCCATTTAATAGTAACGCTAACCTGCCTAGGCATGAAAACGCGCAGCGAAGGCACAAAAACATCAGCTTTCATCTGCTGTGTAATAAAACGGTGAAATAATCATTATAATTGCACCATTCTGATATTTGTGGGCCCAGACTAAACTCATTTCAAAGGCGCGGGTTTAATGATACTTTTTCCCTTCTCCCACGGTATTTCTAAATACAAAAAAGTGTACTGTTAATATCGGGATTAGGCTGGGGGTGTTTTTTTTCCTCTCCCAACTGCAGCCACACGGGTCTTTCTTGCCTTGTTTTGTGAAGTCCATCTGGTGAGGGACACCTGGGATGAGCACACTCCACTTGAGAGCGCTCGCCCCTTCCCTCGGGGCAGCAGAACGTCTCTGCAGCTGGTTTCTGCAGAGAACACCATCAGATAAAAGAGGGTTTTGCAGCCAGCAGTTAGTAGGAATCATTAGTGACTTTCCCTGGTGCTACTCAGTACAAAGAAATGTTGACATGTTTTAATTCTGTCGTGGACTGCTCTGTCTCAATGCTATTTCTAGATAAATGCACAGCTGATAAATGTTACCGAGTATCAATTATAAAGAGGATGGGCTGTATTTATGGTACACTAATTATGATGACTGTTTCTGGAAGATGGTTATAGAATCATAGAATGGTTTGAGGTGGGAAGTGACCTCTGGAGGTCACCTTGTTCAGCCCCTCTGCTCAAGAAGGTTGCCCAGGACCGTGGCCACATGGCTTTTGAGTATCTCCAAGGTCAGATTCCACAACCTCTCTGGGCAAACTGTTCCTATGCTCTGTCAGCCTCACAGTGGTGACGTTTTAACCAAAAATTTTTTGCATTTTTAGTAAAGGTAAAGTTGTTCAATAATATGAATGTTTATTTGATGAGAAGATGTCATTCATAAGACAAAGCTAAACCAGGCACATCTGTAGGTGCCTAAACAATGCAGGAAACACGTTAGTGAAAGGGAACGTGGCCTTTTGGGGAGGGGTGAAGGGCAAGGGGAGAACAACACAACGCTAACCCTACAAACATTCTTTCTCTTTTTCTGTTTCTTCCCAGAATGTTACACTGCAAATGGCGCTGACTATCGCGGCACTCAGAACCAGACCTCCCAATATGCAGGGAAACCTTGTCTTTTTTGGAATGAGACCTTTGAGCATCCGTACAATACTCTGAAATATCCCAATGGGGAGGGAGGGCTTGGAGAGCATAACTACTGCAGGTAAGAAATATCTCATTGTTACTAACATTGCCTATAGACCAGTGTTAACTTAAACAGTTGACAAAAAATGAGGAAACTTCCTTTCATACAGTGAAGAACATCAGAACCACGGATGTTTTAACAGTCGTTTTTTATCCTGTAATCAGTACCCTGGATCGACAAGCACCAGTAGTAGAATAACTTTTTCATCCCAGCTCTCACCCAAATTCCACATCATATATCCAGTCCATAATTGGCACGATGGAGAAGGACTAGGGATTACTTAAATGAAAAGGTGGAGATAATAAAAAAATTGACCGAAGTCAGAATTAGAGAAGCACTAGTGAATGTCTGTAGGAGTCTCTAGAACATTATGGTTTTTTTTTTCCTCACCCACAAGCCTGCTTCTGTTACAGACTGTATTTCTGAGCTTTGTAGTCACTAAAAATTCTCAGTGAGCATTTGCTGTTCAGTGACTTAGAGCTGTTATTTGAATTCAGAAGCTCGACTCTCAGTAGTTACAGTACCAGCTCAAACCATGGCAGATCCACTTTCATTCCCTTGCCTTCTAGAGAAGTCCACCATAATTATAGTTAGATCTCATAATGAATCTGAAATAAGAACTGCAAAATTTAGGAGCCAAATAAGAACCTACATTTAGGCCTTCAGAGAACTGACCAGCTAAGTTTTTATGCCCATCTATACTTGCTATGGAAATAGGTGGGGAATAACCCGATAGATACATTCCTTAAACAGTGATAACCATCATCTAGGCTCATCTAGGATGCATATACAGTTGAGCGGCATCTCATACTCATTGGGTAATGGGGATGGAGGTGTTAAACCAAGAGATTAAAAACTGAGTTACCTGGGGCATAGCAAGAAAAGCTCTAATGTCGCCTTCATGAGAAAGACCACCTCAGTTCTCCTAGAATATGCCTTTACTTAGCAGGTTGTAGGCTTTGTAGGATAGAGCCTATACACTTGGCACCTTCATGTTGAAATTATAAGTATAAATAAATCATAAAGTATAATAATAATAAATAATAAAGCAATATAAATAAGGATAAATGAGGCAAAATTAATATGCAGGAGTTCAGCACAATTGCTATGTCACCAACATAGGGTCCTGGTTCTTCATCCAAGAATTGGATGCAGTCCTGAGTAATGTGCTCTAGGCAATCCTGCTAAGCAGGGGAGTTGGACTAGCTGATCTCTAGAGGTCCCTTCCAGCTCTGTTGAATCTGAATCTGTGAACTTTCCCATATTTAATCAGAAACTGACATTCAAGAAAATATTGACAGAGACAGCGCCAGCCAGTTAACCCAGAGTAAGAAAGCACAGAAGAGAGGGCTGCCTGTAACAGCCCTCTCTTGTTACAGAAATGCCTTGATACAGGCAGCAGATGACTTGGGAGGATATTTCTCATTGAAGAACACTGGTGAAGGACAGGGAAGAAAAAGACTTACTTGGGATCTTTTTACCTTCAATCTGCCAGGTTTCAGATTGTCCTCGTTGAGATGCAGTTTGGCTGGAAGGTTAGCCATTGCCTTCCTTGTGCTGGATCACTTGGCCCAGGAATATTCCCACAGGTGTATGGAATGGTCCTAATTAACCAATGCTTTTTAACTTCACATTCTGTTGAAAAAAAAGCTTGGAAAATCACTGTTTTAGCAGTGTCAGAGCATATCTTTAGTATGCAAATCTTGTCGAGGCCTTGTGAGGGAGGATGTGGCTGGTTTAGCTCTTTCTCTGCTATTAATTTGCTTAGTGACAATAGACAAGTTGATTTTCCCTTCTCTGAGGCAACACGTATCTTGCAAGTCTTTTTTTAAGGCATAATACATTGCTTTGAGGCTCCATTTTAGGGACAATATTTGAATAATCTAATTTTACACTTAAAGCATTGATCAGAAGCATGTTATCTCTCCATGGGTGGTCCTTCCTTGCAATACTTTGTTTATGGCAAGACACCCTGTTAAGATGGAAATGCCTCATAATGTTCCACTAAACCTCATTTCAGCCATAACAAAATTATGCAGCCTGAAGTTTTGGGAGATTTTGAAAGACACTCAATTGTTTCCCAACTGTAGACACTTCTGAGGTTCAAGGCAAAGATTTCTAAAGACATTCATCTCATTTCTCTGCAATTTCCTTGCATTTTAAGGCATTTATATGTGGAGTGCCATTACCATGATTCAATTACAGACATCTGATTTCTGTCATGCAGGTGTAAATCCGGAGTTTCCTGTAACTGTGAAAACAAGGAAAACTGTGTTATTTTGAGTACAGGCTGTCCTTGATTTTAGTTGTCTTCTTTCTTTAGCCACTGGGAGCTCTGCCATTACACCTAAATTCCCAGCACAGAGTTTCCTCATCCACTACTTTTCCTACTCTGTTTGAAAGCCTAACTAGCAGCATTTTACTCAGCTGAATTGAACTCAACTAACCAGTTGTCTTCAACTATTTTGTCTTCAGTTAATTGACAAAACCCATCTCCAGCAGTTCTCAAATTGGATCTCCTGCCAGGAGTTGTTAGTATGCCCGAATGTCAATATGCAGCTGAACTGACTCCTCAGTGTAGGGGGGGGCTAATTAGTAGAATTAATGCCAAAGTACATGATAAAAGATTGCAGTTGGCCATAGTTACAAGAAAAGGTCATATTTCAACCTGACTGTCCAAAGTACCAGTTTATTCTCTTACATTGGTCTTTTAATTTGTGAATAGTTTTTCAAAGTGTACCTAGAAAAAACTTTAAATAACCTAATAACTAATTAGGTCTGCACAGCAGCAAAGAATAATGGAGGACACATAAGGAATTATCCATCAATATATCAGATCTCTGAAAGAGATTTATTCAGCTTTACCGAAGGGGCAGAAAAGACCTCAGTCTTTCCCAGAATGGTTTATTGGAGAAATGTTTTTGTCATCATATAGAAAGTTGGAGTCTGGACTCTTCTGTATCAAGGCAAAAATCAAGTTTAGGAGCCTAATGAACCTGTACGTAGGATGTGTGGCTGAAAATCTCCCTCTCTTTCTCAGTACTGTCCAGAAATAGCTCTGCACCTTTTAGACAAAGAAAAAATAAGTTGTTTTTTAGACATTTCTAGCATTTTGTGCTTACTTTTTACTGTAATAACCAAAGATATCTGAACTTCCTGACTGATTTTGCATTATTCTTGGTATATGGTTAAACATTCAATCGGTATTAGAGCCAAATAGTGATGACACTGAAGCTTAGTAAGATTTATGTTTACGTGGGTTTTGAAAATGTTTGATGACTTTTTACTCACTCTGTTTTCCTCTTTCAGGAACCCAGACGGAGATGTCAGCCCGTGGTGCTACATTGCAGAGCACGAGGATGGAATATATTGGAAATACTGTGAGATCCCATCCTGCCGAAGTAAGAGCACCACGCAGGGTTTTAGGCCGGCATCTCTGTTGCACAGAGACTGGCAGTGTGACAGCAGTGGGGAGTGATTTTCAAACAGAAACCAGAATAAGGCCAATCAGCTTATTTTCAGTTGCAGACTAAGCAATATTTTAAACGGGTCTCTAGAGTTAGTGATAAACCTGCTGAATCATTCCTACATTGCCATCCTATTATTTACAAATAATACCAGACAGAGGATCATTCAAAACTTAGGAAGTACTGCTAGGGCTTTTTTGAATCCATAGAAATATGTCATTCATTTATTAAAATCTAGAGGACAAAAATGAATAGGAAATTATTAATTAATTTTTTACAAGGTACGTACGTGTCTGTTGTTTGCAATTAGCTTGTAAAATGGATGGCATTAGTTTAATGTGTATAACACATCATACACAGAATTTCTTGAAAGAAATAGAGACAGTGTGAGAGGACACGGGGAAGCGGCGGGTATTTGTTAGGTTTATGGGAGCTCAGGGCTGGAATCCTGTTCCTTGCAGGTGCCTATATTTAGCATTGCTGTGAAACCCTAAACTGGGCTTTGTTTGATTTGTTAACAGATAATGCACAAATTCACCTGAAGCTTCCTTTCAGTATTTAGTATTTTTAATGTATTATCTTATTTACCCTGTCCAAAATGTGGAGGTTTTGTCATGATTCGTGTCAATATGTTCCAAAATTTTCATTCCTGAATGCTCCAGGATGAAATCCCAAGAATCACATTCTTTAAAATACGCCTAAATATGAAAAAGAGATTCCAGTTTTGCATGTTAACAAGCAACTATAACTACACCTTTTATTAAGTCTAATCATTAATGCCTTTACTTGCTTTCCTAATCTGTGCAAGTACTCTCTATTTCTAAGGGATAATTTATGTGTATGCTGTTCAGTGTCAGAGCAGTTGTCCTTATGTAGCCATCCTTTCCATTGGAAGAAGTACATTTCTTACTTGAAGTTAAGAAAACAAAGCCAAGCAAAACAAAATAGATCTCAAGTGGTTTTTTTACTTTGCCCACAGTTTTCTTTTTTTATGAATGTAAGCGAGTGATTCACATCTCCAGCCTAGGCAAACAAATACTTAAGTGTGACCTTAAGTCGGTTGACTTTTACCTAGACTTAAGTACAGATTTAAAGAGTCTAATTTAAATAACACACAATCATTCAACACTCCGATAGTCATTGTTCAGAGGACATTTTACTCTTACTTTTCTAATATACCAGGTCCTATTTAGGAAACATGACCCTCCTAATTAAGAAATTTATCTTGGTCTAAAATGAAAGAATTTGCATTTTCTTTAAAGACCACAGATGTTAACAAATTCTCTGGATATGGCACCAGTGAAAAAGCTGAAAGGCAAATTCTCTCCACTCCATTTGTTCTACACAAAGGATCCTTTTGAAACCAGCCCCACTCATTTTCTCTGTGGTGGGGAGCGGAGGATTTAAACTTGGACACTTACTTGCACAGATAATCCAGACTTACATTTACAAAATGTCCTTTTGACCAGTAGCAGCTGCTTCAAGCATTGCACTGAAACTGGATACTAGAAAAAGAAATGGCAGCAATTTAGAACAAACTGTACACTGCAAGCCCATCCAAGTCTTAATACAAACCTCATGGTTTGTGAAGCTGTGTAAGGAAAAAAAAAAAAACCCACTTTTATTCTTTACCAGATTTTCTGTTTTCAGTAAGCATGATGGTAAATCACAGAACCATCAAAACCAACTTGTGAAGTGCATAATACAAAACTGAGTTTTGTGATGGAGCAAGAAAGCAATTGTGTAGAGAAATCCTAGTTGAAATTTTTAGAGAAGTAAAAAAAAAGTTGTCTTTTATATAAGCTTCTTTTCTATACTTGTCTTTTCTAGTAGTAAATATAATTATCTGGAGCATAATTTACCTATAAACGATACCCACATAATACCACTCCAATGCCAGCAACATGAAGCGTCTTGATTGCCTAGAGAGATTTGCATGCAGTGATTCACTGTAGCAATAATTAAGAACCTACAGTTCAGAATTTTTCATTACGGTGATGATTTCACACGATTATATCATGTGTCTTGTTTGCTAATAATTTATACGTAACGCGGAGTGTGTCATTCAGAAACGTGCTCCGCCATCCTGCCTGTGCCAACACGCTCCGTGGGGTTTAGCAATGTTAGACGAGGCTGGATGGGCTCAGTCTCCCAAGACAGTGGTAGTTACCCTGGTAGGACCTTAGTCTTTCCTTTTCTTCCTCTCCTCTTCTTCCTGGCTGCTCTGCTGAGCCGACTGGAATGGACATGAGCAAAATTAAAAGGCAAGAAAGGCAGCACGGAGTCCTGAGAGAACATGTGCATCTCACATGGGGAATGCAGAACCGAATGCTGTAGATTGTTTGTTTGCAATACTGCAGCTAGTCCTGACTGTTTCAGTCTCTTTGTTAACGGGGTTAGGTTGAAATTCAAAGGAAATAACAACTTAGGCTCCCAAAGGTACAAGAGAGAAGGGCTTGCTGCCCCACATAATGGCATCTCCATCTTCATGGCCTGCATGAGGCTCTCACCGTGAACAGGTTTCATTACTGGAATCGTATTTCCTGTGTGCATGTATGTCATGTGATAGATTTATTTGTTACTGAAATACTGATGAAGTGTTAAATGGTAGAGCCAGGTAAGTTGTACAGAGCTGTATTAATCACTCTGTAAGACTGACCTGTCTGTGTCTGAAGAAGGGAACAGTGAGGAGCTTGCACCATTTGAGACCCTATTCTGGTGCATGCGACCATTGCAAAACGCTCAGAGGCTCTTGAAAGCCAGCCAGATGAGCAGAGCTGGGACGTGGCTTTGGGCTCAAAAGGATGAATTCCATGTTTTAGTACACATGCCTTAACACGTAATATGCAGAAGCTCTGGTGTTTGCTGGGACCTCATTATGCCTTAAAGGTCCCTTCCAACCTAGATGATGGTATGATATATTTGATGTGGGACTACGTAAGTGCTTTTAGCTGAGCATCTGTCCTTGGGCTCATGGAGTTTGTTGATTTGATCTCAGTGTAATTTGAAGAGCTGGGCACTGGCGTGGAAATTACTGTTCAGTGTTAGGCCAGACTGATGCTGCTTCTGTTTATTCCCAGCCACGTGACAATTTTATTTGCTAGGTACAAGAAAGTTAAAAGACTGCTGGGACACCAAAGAGACTAATTAGCTGTAGGATATACCCAAACGGTATGCTTGATTTAATTAGAAAATGTAGGAAGTTTTCAAATTACTCATTCTAGTTTCTTAGCACGGAACATGCTGAAGTGCTAATCCTCTGGAGACAAGGTTGAAGGATCTCACCAATAATGATACTTACAACAAACAAACAAACAAATATTTATAAAGTATGTGGTTTTAGGAAATCCCAGGTCTCCTAGGACAATGAGTGAGGTTGGTTTAACTAGGAAGTTTTTTCAGGGCAGTGAAATCATGCACTGTACAAAAAAACCTGTGCTCTCTGGGAGTTTTCTGCCCAGCTGTGCTCAGCTGGGGTGGGGCTGGGACGGGGCTTTCCAAAGGTATGTTAAATCAGGCTGGAACTTGAAGTCTCGGTACTTATATGCATGTTGCTGCAGGGCATATCAAAGTCGTTAACTCCATGAAAGTGTTTATAATTGAAATTGTAGCTTTCTTAGAAAACAAAAATATTTTATGAACAATATTTGAAGCAACATTATCTAATAATTAAAAAAAATACACATAATAGAATTTTCTTCTCAACTTCATTAATTCCTCTTTATAATACTATAATCATCCTCCTCAGGAGTATAACCATATACAGAGCAGCATATTTGCTGGTCACTAATAGATATGGTAACCCTCTTCCTCAAAATAAGGAAGCTGCCATAGGCACCGCAGCCCAAGTCTGGGAGAAGTTCTCAGGCAGAGCTGTTAACTCTTCCAGCATGATTCAGATTTTAAGGGTGAGCTGACATCAGTTTACATGCTCAGTTTATAATATTCCAAAAGAATAAGGACGAGACCGTCTTTGTTAGATTTAGACAAATAGAAGTTCAGAATTCAAGGCATATTTCAATGGCAGCTGCACATGGACACGCATAAGAAATCCCAGAAATGGGCCTTCCAGCATCCAATGAAGAGATAATTTCAGGACTGCTCTACAAGAGTGCTCAGTACAAAAGCATCAAAGCATTCTTACTGCATTTATGTGAAAGTAGAAGTATGTGGAAGCAGGTTACTAACACACAGGTTATCTGATAGAAAAAAGGGCGCCCTGCACAAGTAATGGCTGGTTCAAAAGGAGCCCCAAAACAGCTAATCCACACGCTATCAGACATCAGAGGCTGAAAAACCCCAAACCTAGCATTTCTCCCCCCAGAAAACCCTATTGGTAAATTAAAAACCTGAAACAGTGCTGTGCCACAAGACGTTGGCAAGAGAGAGTTCGGCGTTTACTGGGGACTGAAATAACAAATGACGGAATAAGGAAAGCTCTCAAGCAGTTCTCTGACCACATCCCATGTTACCCAGAGCCGGGGAGGTTAGGTGGGCAAAAAATAATCCTTGTCAGTCTGGCACAGGGATAAAAAATATCTGACCACAGAGCTGGTAAAAGATTTAATTCCTAGTATATGAGCAGATATGGCAAGTCGGCAAGGGATAATTTTATGCCATTAGAAGAGCACAATATTGTACCCCACATCCTCTCTCTAGTAGCCGTGGCTAAATCCCAGTGCTTTGATGAAAAGTGCAAAAACAAAACCAAGCAAAAACAGAGGACAAATTATGCACTGAAGGGGGGAAACTCTTTCTGACCTCCCATAGTGACCAAGGAGCCTTGAAATGTTGTATTACTGCAGTATAAATAGATGTTTCTTTAAAAAAAGTAATATTGCTCACTTTGAAGCTCTTTGTACATACCATAAAATATGATACTTTGAATTCATGTCAGAATTTGCGTTTTAAATATTAGGAAATTCCCCTATATAAGTATGTAGTTCCTCCTATAAAACTTGCCAAACTCCAGCCTAAAAGAGTTTTGGTTCCCTTCCTCAAATATCCTGTTTCAAAAACTTCCAGAACTTCATTGTTTTGAAAGATCAGCCAGAAATCACATTTTTTAATTTACGCTGTTAGAATATGCATAATCATACTCCAAAAAACCCTCAAAAACCTCCAAACCCACTTAATGCCTTTTTAAATTTTTTTAATCGTCTCTATCAGGAGAAGTGAAGCAGGTATTTATCTTGTCCCTGTGACTGCAGCTCACAGAAACCAGCTGCCGAGTATTGCAGGGACATTGCTAAGGAGATCAGATGCTATTTCACCACCTGCCATTTATCCCTGGGCACGGTTGGAAAACGTGACAAGGATCTAGCGTAGAGTGATGTTTCCCATGCTGCGAAATCGAGACAGGAATGCAGAGATTGCTGCTGAGAGACCAGGTAGTGCATAAAGCGGTGTGTGTGTCCCGGGCACACCTTTGGAGTGACTGTTTTTTGTTCTTCCTGCCAGTGCCAGGGAATCTCGGGTGTTACAAGGATCATGGAGAGCCACCACCTCTGACCGGCACCAGCGAGACCTCCAATAAACTCACTATCCAAACGTGCATCAGCTCCTGCCGGAGTCAGCAATTTAAGGTGATTTCTTTGACATACGTTTACGAAGAAAAGAAATAAAGTTTTTAGATTATTTATTTTGGGATAAACTACAAGATACGGGTTAGTGATGGGTTTCGTCAGTGTTGGGTTGATGGCTGGACTTGATGATCTGAAAAGTCCCTTCCAACCTGGACAATTCTATGTTTCTAACATGCTTTCGAAGACAAAAGATGGCAATATTCCCAAAACAATCTATCATATTTCTGGTGTCATTCCCCTCCCTTTTTTTTTTTTTTTTAACCTTTAGGAGGTCTAAGATCTCACCCCCACTCTAAGCCCTCTCTCTGCATCCAGAACAACCTGGGCTAACGACCAGTTAATTCCAGAATGCCAGGAGGAAGTATGGTCACTGCTTGCAGTTATGAGTGACAGACAGGGTGCCCTAACTGCCCTCCAGCCCATCCTTCCCGCTAGTCTCAGTAGCATCCTGACAGCTCAAACAAAAACAGTTTGTGGTGGGACCACTGACCTCTAACTAATTACACATCTCCGAAATGTGCAGATTCTGCTGCCAGCTTTCTTGCTCATACAACCTCCCGCTGTCACTCCTTTGAGTGTCATCCCTCCCTCCCTCCCTTCCTTACGCATCTTTGTTGTCAAAGTTTGCAGGCATGGAATCAGGTTATGCTTGTTTCTGTGGAAATAATCCCGACTACTGGAGATACGGGGAGGCAGCCAGTACGGAATGCAACAGTGTTTGCTTTGGAGACCACACTCAGCCCTGCGGTGGGGATGGCAGAGTCATTCTTTTTGACAGTAAGTAATGAAACGGGCTCGGTTTTTCCCAAAGGAGAGGCCTCAAATGTTCAGCAAATTAGGGAAAAGGGTTTAAATGTGCTGAGAACGGTTGCACACAAAACAGCAAAACACCTAAATTAGTATAAAAAGAGCTTCTTACCATTTCTGCGTAAAATTCACATCCGTTAAAAAAGTGAAATGGCTCTTCCAAGAAATGACGCCTGCCCGGGCGACTGACTCACGCTCCAGAGGTTGTCTCTTCTTCACCACAAACAGTGTAACTGGGCCATCACAAACACCATGTCATGGGAGACTCCTTCGGAGCTGAGCATACTGGAGAGTAGAGAGGTGACTGAGTGAGGCATCTCAAATAAAATTTCAATCTACTTGGGATTTTTTTATTAAAGTAGATGAGACTTGCTATACCCCTGTTACATGAAGCAACGCGGTAGAACTGGGACAGGGAAAGAGTGCATCCCAAAAGTAAAAACAGGTTTGGTCGCTATTATGACCATTGCTGATTTCATTATTTCTTATACGTGGAAACCCACCTTTCTACTCCTCGTTTCAGTACCCACACCAGTGCCAGCTGCGTAACCTCCCAGGCTGACAGTATGAGTACCCAGTGCAGGCTCCCAGTACTCCCAGGAGTACTGGAAAAGTTCACAGCATGCACCAATACATTGCTTCTCGGGTCTCAGCTGCCTCTGGTGCAGAAGCTACCTTTTAAGTTGGAGTTACAAACTTTCTGGAACTAAAACCGCGATCATTTCACGTCTTTTATCACACAACCAAACTTCCCATCTCTTACTCTAAGACTGGTTCCCAGCTCATGAGACAGAACAAGGTTTCAGTTGAGACAGGAATTACTCACTCTGCTTGCTTCCCAATTCTCGATATGAAGAGAAAACCAGGTTGGATGGGCTCTGAGCAACCTGGTCTGGTGGGAGGTGTCGCTGCCCAGGGCAGGGGGTTGGAACTGGGTGGTCTTTCAGGTCCCTTCCAACCCAAACCATTCTGTGATTCTGTAAGAGAAGCACCTGAGCTGCATGTTGCTTTCAGTGTTGAGATAGTACGTTAGTCTTTAGCTTCCCACTGCTGCATCCTCTGTCTGCTTCTGCTCTTGGCTCCCAAACCCTTGATGGATAAAGACTTTCTGATGGGTGAAGCTTTCCTTTCCTTGCCTGACCAAGAGCTCGGCAGGGTGTTACCCCAAGGACTTGTGCTGTCTCCTCTGGTACACAGCAAGGGAGAGAGCTATGGCCGGGTAGGAGAGGTCATCCTCAGAATGGCCACCTATTTTCTGTTACTGCTGACCTTCTCACCCCGTTCCTCTTTTCCAGATTGTGTCTTATCCCCAGAACCATCACCCCGGATCCCTGCACACTCCCCCGCACACCCCGCCATTAACCTCATGTGTTGGTGTGCTACTGTCACACTCAGCTGTAACACTCAGACCCACAACACAGAGCTCTGCCAGCTCCAGAAGGAAATGAGCTGGGGAAAGCATTTCCATGCCATATGGGGCAGTGCTGTGTGCTGTCGGGCAGCTGTGCAGCAGGACTCGTTGCCGGTCTCGGTTAATATTGCTGGGTGGAAGAACGTCGTGTGATTCAGTAATTACAAACAGCACGGCCAAATGTAGTATGAGTACCTAGAAGCTGTTTGCAAAGAGGAAATTTGCTGTCTCCATGACAAATTTCAATTCTGTCAATTCAATCTATTCAAACAATTCGATCTCTCCGATGAAATCACCAGCTCTGATAGCGTGGTGTAAATGCCAAACACAAACTCCTCCAAGGGGCTTAGTACCTCTGTGGGGCCTTTTACATTCTTTCTACTCTTCTGCTTTCATATTCTTTCAGTTCCTCTAGAAGGATTTCACCGTACGGCACTGAAGTGTGAGATTTGCTCAGGCTATGATCAGGCCTTGCTCCAGAAAAAGAGAAATAGTTTCACATGATTTTTCTGGCAGACATATGCTGCTGCTTGTCCTCATTCTCCGAGCTCCCTTTTTAATTTGTATTTATTAAAGCTCTTTCTCAGAGGCCTTGAAAACTGAGACACTTCAAAACACTTCGCTTCCTTCATTTCCATTCTCACAGGCCTCTATTACAGGACTTTAATTAAACTTTCAGAGCAAATAATTCTACTTTGGTTCGTCAGTCCTTCGGCCTAGATATGGGGGAGTGATAACTCTGATCCAAACAGTTTTGTCGTGAAATACATTATTATATAATAACACATATATAATAGATACATACTATTGTGTATTTAGGGGATATATGTAAATACATATATATATGCATATATAGCTATATACCATACATTTAACAAATTATATATGTGTATATATAGATATTAATCAAGTCAGTTGGCTAGCGTTTGAGTTTCTCTCTGGATTCACTGGTAAATAAGTTTGCACTGGGAATCTGGATAGTTGTCAAGAAATGTACAGATTTACTGGGTGTGTGCCTGTTTTGAATATAAAAGGTAGCAACAAATCCAAAAGATTTTCTTCATAACAGGATCTTGTCCAAGTTACTTAGTGAAAGTAAGGTTAGAAAACATTAATTGGACAAGATCAAAAGGCAGGATGCTTAAAAAAACACCTATAAATGGCCCCAAAGGTGATTAAGGGCTTACAGCGTGGTTCATACAAGGAGAGGCCGAGAGATCTTGGCTTCTTTGGCCTTGAGAAAAGAAGGCTCAGGGGGATCTTTTCAATCTGTGTAAATAGCTGATGGGAGGGTGTAAAGATGGAGCCAGACTCTCCTCAGTGTTATCTAGTGAATAGACAAGAGGCAACAGGCACAAAGTGAAACACAGGAAGATCCATCTAAACATAAGGAAAAGCTTTTTTTACGGTGCGGGTGACACTGGAACAGGTTGCCCAGGGAGGTCGTGGAGTCTCCATCCTCAGAAACTCAAACCACAACCCAACAATGTCTCCTGCTTTGAGCGAGGGGATTGGACCATCTACAGGGGCTCCTTCCAACCTCAATCTTTTTCAATTTGATAAGGCTGTGAAGTAATTTCAATAATTCAGCAGTGGGAGTTACAGTCACTAACCCACTTCCCTGTCTGCCTGACGGGGATGGAGTCCCTGGATCAGTGATGCATCATCCTGTTCCTTCAGGGATTTGGAAAGGGAACCTGGTTACACACATGGACAAGGGGCAGTTGCCATATTTAAGATTGATACACAGGTCTCAGAGCACCGAGACAGAAGGAGCATGTCCCCAGCAAACCCAACATCACAGCTCTGCTCAGGGAGCTGTGGACTGCAAAGAAAACCAGAGACTGGGCATCCTGCCGGGGTGGAGTATTGAGTATTGGAATTCATTTGAGTATTAGAATCTATGGAGTACTAAAGCTGTGCATAATGAATGTATAACCTTTTTTTTTTTCCTATTTCTCCCCCTCTCCTCTTCTTTTCACAGCACATATTGGTGCCTGTGGAGGAAATTACACTTCTGCTACCGCTGTGATCTATTCCCCGGATTTTCCTGACACATACGGCACAGGCAAAGTCTGTTACTGGACCATACAAGTTCCAGGGGCATCTCAAATCCACTTCAGCTTTGTGCTTTTTGAAATCAAAGATGCTACAGATATGGTGGAGTTGCTGGATGGCTACACCTATCATGTTCTAGCTCGTTTCAACGGCAAGAACCGGCCTCCCCACACCTTTAACATCTCTTTGGATTTTGTCATTTTGTACTTTTTCTCAGATGAAATCAATCAAGCCCAGGGATTTGCCATCAGATACAGAGGTAAGAGGCTAACTTTGCCTTTTCTACATTTCAATGAGCCGTTAAAGCATTTAATTCACACAGGACATTTCTGAAATGGCAAAAAAAGCAAGTATTTTACCTCTCATGTCTACAGGTGTTTTATCTATTTTGTTGCCACTGCTCAGTGGGTAAAAGCTTGCCTAAAATTTCTCTCAACTTGGAACACTCCAGTCAGTGATGTCCTAAGTAGCAAAATTTAACTTTTTGAAAATTCAACCCTATATATACCTGCCTTTCAAAACAGATTGGAAAATCACAAAGTTAAACAAAACAAAAAAAAATCAGTAGTCCATCTGCATCTTGGTCCAACTCAGCTCTTTCCAACAGTCCGTCCCACTCAGATCAAAACTCATCAGGAGAAAACATTTTAGTCCCTGAATTGTACCTACTGCTACGATGAACAAATTCCAGAAAAATTCTGGGAACCCCGACTTGGTGAAGTACAGGCTTTTTCTGGCATCAGACATAATTTGATTATTGAAGTTCTTTAAATAAATCAGGAAGCAGCATATACCTGATTACAAGCACAAAATAGGAGTCCTGTTCAGAATGTTATTGTGATTGTTCTCTTGTGTTTTCAGCTGTGAAGGACAATGTGCATCAGAAGAGCATTCCAATGAATCAGACCCTCTTGGAGAAGAAAACTGAACAAGCAAATCTCAGCATCAACACGGCCCGGTCATCAAAGATACTTTATGTCATCACAACCAGCCCAAGTCATCCTAGCAGCTCCATGCCTGGTAATGTTACAAGAAAATGTGGAAACAGGAAAAGCATTTTGCCAAAACATAATCTTGAGTCACTGTTTCCTTTGCCTCCTCCTCCATGTTATCTGATCCAGCGTGGATTTTCATTTAGTCTAATTACCGCTAACTGTGCTGCCCTCATCACTGTTTAAAACTCACTTCTCAGCATAAATCAGTTAGAAATAGCGTGAGACCTTGAGAATGAAAGCACATCAGAAAGGTGTGAGTCAGAGCAGCCTCCTTATTAACAACCCCTGCAGTGACCAGGGTTTACCATAGAGGTGGCAAAAGGCGCTGAAAAAAAGAGCAAGCTCTTCCAAGAGTCTGGAAGAGCCCGAATGCTGGATGCATCCAACTTATCCCAGTTCACAAAAGCTCCAGCAATAATACAAAGAGGGCTAGACAAGGACAAAGTGAGTTAATGAATGTGGGGAGATGCCAGTGAGAACTGTCACGTGTCTAGAACTCACCTTCAAGACATCACTTCATTCAGGAAATTGTTGAGTGGTAAATGATCGAAGGCTGGAAATGCGCTCAGGGTGGATGTCACTGTTGGTCTCTCCTGTCTTTAAACTACCCGGGGCATCTGCTTTTACAAATTGTTGAAGCTGGGCCTCCATCAAAGCCATCTGCATTCCAGCCCCGGAGCACCAGGAGGTGCCTGCCCATCCCCACGTACCCGGCCAGGCTGCAGACCATGCCCAGGGTCCTGGGCACAACCTCTGGCTCAAGGCCCGAGCTGGAGCCTGAGTGACCACTGCAGTTATGAAAATAGTGTTAAATTCATCACAAACAGGCAGTGCTTTGGGGAAGGGGTGTTGGGTGGGATGGAACTTACGCTTCCTTTTTTCACTCTGTAGAGCTTCAGGACTTCTGGAGGTGACGGCCTTTATTCAGTTGTTCTAATAATTCAAGATCCTTGCAAGGCTGTTCATTGTGCTAAATAGGTCACAGTTACATCCTAGTGCCATCCCTTTTCCCTTTTCTCCACGTGCTGTAGCCTCCCCCTGCAAGATTACGGAAGTCCAAATGAAAAGCTGATCTAATAATTCAGAAATTGGCTGCCTTCGAGCCCCAACCCCTGAAATAGTTCCAGTGTTGCAGTCTGTCAAGCTGTTCTGTAAGTCCTGCCTGAACTCGGCAGAACTAAATTGAAATGTAAAATACAATGACCCGAGAGCCTTCAGTGTGAGGTCATAAAATAACAGACCACAAATATTGATCACCCATCTCAGTGGATTCTAGAAAGGAAAAAAAAAAAACCCACAACAAACATACTTAGTCATTACTTACATAATTACTGATATAAAACTAGGCCATCTCCTTGCAAACACAGAGTTACTACTGATAGCATATATTCTAGTATGTTGTTTAGTCTGCTTTTAAATTGTCCTCTGAGTGAGTTTTGATTCCTTTCCTAGATGCTAGTTAGATAATTTTACTGGCAAACGCTTTGAATTTTCCCAGCTTCCAATTTTACAGGGAGCAGTCCTGCATGGGAAAAACCGGTTCCGACCGAGACTTACACTCTCTGCCAGTCTCTGCAGAAAACACTTAAAGGTTTAAGGCATCTTCAAATTACAGTTTTGAACAAAGCATCAGAAAACTCTGTGTTTCTTTTGTGCAATTGTAATTTGCAGTTCTTTTGTGCAATTTAAACACTGTAAGTAAACGAATGTCCTCTCCTCCTCTCTTTCTCCCTCTCCCCTCTCCTGTTTTACAGAGTGGACAATATACAGTCTCACAGCGCTGCTCATCCTCAGTGTTACAGCCATAATAGCAAAGATATTTCTCCACATAACCATGAGGTGAGTACGGGGCAAAACTGTCCCTGCAGCACAGACAGAACAGAATCTCTCTTTTGCTCTTGTTTTGACAAGATTTGTATCTTAAGGAATAAAAAGGTTTCTCATACTGAGCGATGTTATATAGCAAAGAGGAATCAGACACCTAGCATTGGTGGGAAGAGGTCAAATTATGATAATGATTTGCAGGAAAAAAATTAAAACCTGATCCCAGATCGAAGAACTGAGAAACATTGGTGGGAAGAGGTCAAATTATGATAATTATTTGCAGGAAAAAAATTAAAACCTCATCCCAGATCGAGGAACTGCGAAATTTTATATGTAGGCTAGTTAATACCTACTTTCTTTTACTGAAGTACTGAAAATGGCTCAAAGATGAATTAGAAAAATGAAAATCTGTATTATGGTGTGACACTTAACCTGTATGATTTCTTTCGCTTATTAAAAACAACATAATTTTATTACTGGAGAAATTTTATATGTAGGCTAGTTAATACCTACTTTCTTTTACTGAAGTACTGAAAATGGCTCAAAGATGAATTAGAAAAATGAAAATCTGTATTATGGTGTGACACTTAACCTGTATGATTTCTTTTGCCTGTTAAAAACAACATAATTTTATTACTATGTTTCTCTACACTTATACCAAGTAATTTTTGTGTCCTCCAGATGGACAGTCATTGAATGAAATGATGGGGAAATTATCAGCAAGTTGTAACTGTTGAATATTGTATTTACATACCACAAAGAGGCGTAAATATACAAGGAAGTTAATTTATGTTAATAGCAATTAGTAATAGAATATTTACATTCTTCTTAGCTGAATGTCACTGCTTTCATTAGGGTAGCAACTATTCTAGCAGCAGAACACCTGACGTTTCATTTGGGCTTCCCAAGCACCTTCACAGTGAGTTAACCCTTGTTTCCCAGGTCCCACCCCATCCCATCTGCAGCTGAAAGGGGAGACTCCGGGGAGGTCACCACTGCTGGGGAGATCTGGAGCATATTCTACCAGCCATCCACATCCATATCCATCTTCAAGAAAAAGCTTCGAAGTCAGCAAGACGATTGCAACCCACTAGTGGGAAACTGAAGTGTCTTTTGTTCTACAAGAATCAGTCTTCTTAAAATCCAGGTGACTTGGGAATAATCCCTTTTTTTTTTTTTTTTTTAGCTCCCAGTCTCGTACTTGTTTTCTAAAAAAGTCCATTTCCAAAGGCCTTTGAGTAACTTTGCTTATCTGCTGTTCTCTTGGGTGTACTAATGGCAACAGATTTAATTGCAGCAATAGTTTTGAAATACCTGGTGCTCATCAAATCTGTAGTGCTGTTAATTACTGCCTTTAAACCAAAGCACTTAAAATACCTGTAAAAACCTGTACAATTCAAAGTGCCCTGTGCCCCTGCCAAGAGTAATTGAAGAGTACCTGCAGGTTGAGGACTCCTCGTGCCCTACTTTCCTGTGTGGCTGTTTTGTACCAGGCTGCCTTAGTCCCTTTATTCTCGAGGTGGACACTGATAACCTGCTCGGTTGCCACAGCAACTGGAGCTTATTGGCCTTAAAACACAGCTAAATGGGACTGCACAATAAAAGGGGAGTCAAAGACTTGGAGAAACAGCCTGGTTGCCCCGTTCTCTGCTCTTTCCACGTTTTCTGTTTCTACAAGCAGAGATGTACAAATAAAAATCAAATCAAATTCAGGAGGGAAACACTCTGTGGAGCTTCAGCTGCAAATGGAGTAACGGCCACCAGGTCACGGTCTGCTTGAGCAACGGAGACTTTAAACGACTGCGTCTGACCCACCTTTCACCAGTGATCATGATGATTTTGTTCATATTCACAGTGATCCTTTAAAAAACTACTGTGCTCTGGTCAGAGCCCTGCATTCGCTCTGGATGTAAACTTAGGGCTTCTTAAAGAAAGTCCAAAGAAACTGTAAATTCGCTGAATTTTTGAACGGCGAGGCTGAATAACACAAATGCTTACTCTGGACTTAAAGACATTGAGCTGAGCAGCCTAAACCAGTGACAAAGCTGCCACCAGCTCTCAGCAACTCAGTTGCCTTGTTACTCACCTGTGAGAAGAAAAAGTGTCTCCTTGCCTGCAAAATTAAAACTGAACTGCATTTTTGAGAAGAATGCCTTTGTCAAAGAACAAAACCATCCATGGGGGTCTGCTCTACGAAACAGTTTCTCTCGGCAAAATTAAAACTGAACTGCATTTTTGAGATGAATGCCCTTGTCAAAGAACAAAACCATCCATGGGGATCTGCTCTACGATTTCTATGGTTTCTCTCTGATTGTCACAGACACCATGAACTATTTTTTTCTCTTTGGTAGAAAATCTGTCCACCCACGATGCTCAGACCTCTCTCCCCACTGGGGATCCCCAGCGAGTCCTTCAGCCTCAGCAAGTCCAAACCAGCGAGATATTCAGGAAAAACCGACACTACAGAAGTCAGATAAACGGGCTGGAAAAGTTTACTGAGGGAGCAGCTCCTCAAGCTGAGTTAGAGGAAATTCAGTGAGAGCCATTCAAGTACAGCAATTCAGGAATAAATACCAGTGTAACCGTTCACCAACGGCCTGTGTGTCCCAGCCCTGCAGTCAGAGAGCAGCCCAGCGAGTCCTTCAGCCTCAGCAAGTCCAAACCAGCGAGATATTCAGGAAAAACCGACACTACAGAAGTCAGATAAACGGGCTGGAAAAGTTTACTGAGGGAGCAGCTCCTCAAGCTGAGTTAGAGGAAATTCAGTGAGAGCCATTCAAGTACAGCAATTCAGGAATAAATACCAGTGTAACCGTTCCCCAATGGCCTGTGCGTCCCTGCAGTCAGAGAGCAAATAGTAAAAGCATCTGCAAGAGATAACTGAGAAAAGTAAGAAAATTGTCACTGAGATTAAGTTCATTATAGCACCTGCCCTTCTGTTTTTAACATCTAACTCCTTCCACTTCATCAGGGCTATAGATCTCATTGAAAAAATAGGGCATCTAAGAATTAAACAATGAAATACTGTGCCTTACTTGCCACTGTAGATCTAGTCTTTCACCTGAACTGAATTCATTCCAGCTCCGTTTCTGCACCGCAGCTGAGTGCCAGAGACAGCTGAGCCATTCCACAGAAATGCTTCACAGAAACGAGACTTTATTAAGCCAGCAATTATGGAATTGTTTATATCAAAAATGGAATATCATGGGAACATCTAGTACTTCCTTGCATGAGCCGCTGGAAAGGATACAGGAAAAGATAATTACAGTATTGCCTAAAATCAAGACAGGACGAGTTGTAAAATAATGCTGGTTATCTCTTACATGTCATCGGGTTGGACCAAAAATCATTATCTGTTCCAGACCCAGCAAAAAAAATCTTTAAATTGCCTTTTTAACAGTCAGGTTTTGCATCGCACCCTGTAGGGAAAGAGCCTACCTCCCAGCTGGGCAGCACAGCAGATCAGTTTGCTTCCTAACGCACGTTTAATGTGGTTCAGGAATGGAAACCCAGGAGGAGGGAGCCCAAGGGCACAGCTGGATCCTTGAGGTGTAAGTTCTGAGCACATCCTGGCAGAGCTTTCTTTGCCCTCCCCATCAAATGTTCTTGAGCAGTTAAACGCAGTCAGAGGGACGCTGGTGAAGCAGTCACTAACACTGCTCAGTGGAAAAACCATCAGGAGCAGCGCAGGACTGATTTCTGGAGGAAATCAGAAGGAAGATACGTTCAGCTTCTCTTCCTCAGTAAAGAATTTCACTGTATAGATTAAAGGAAGCCTGTTACAAACAACAAACAAGGCGGATGCTAAGTCTAGACAATTTAGAAACTGAGATTTTTCCATTGGCCCCTTAGCTGCTCAGCTTTACTTAAATATCAAAATTGTATTTCATGGGCCTTTCTTAGGGAACGTTTACATAATTTCTGTTACAAAGGACCCAAAGAAGCAGCCGTTGGAGCAGATGAACTGGCCGTGGCAATGACCAACATGACTACACATACGGTACTGGACGGTGCTCGGGTAAACACCCTGATAAAAACATCAAGGAAATTGCTGTGTTCCCCCCAAAATCTTTGCGATTGTCTGATTCTAGAGACCTCTGATGCCGGGAAACAGAGCGATGGATGGAAGTGCAGGGACAAGGTCCCTCAAACAGCACCTTGTACCCCCAAAACAGCCCTTCTCCCTCTCCAGGCCTGAGGCCAGGAATGGCCGTAGATCTCTGTGAGGGAATTTTTCAAAACAAAGGCATATGGTCGCTCGCAGTCCCCGTCCGGTGCGCGGCCAACGCCGAGGGCAGCCATGGAACAGCACTCCGTGATCCTTGCTGTGAGGGTTTGGGGAGAGAAGGGAGAAAAGTGACAGGCACAACTGCTGTAACCCCAGACGGCTCCGCAGGCAGACGGGCCCCGGCCACAGCAGCAGCTGAGCACAGACAGCTGGGGGGCACCGACCCCTTGGGACGGTGGGTTTACAGCGTTTTCTTCAACAAACTGGAAATAACCACAAAAGAAGAGTTCATTTGGAATGGTACCTTGAAGGGCCTCCTGACCCGCGGCCCCACACTCCCCTCAGCAGGCTGGACAGGGCAACAGTGGCCACAAGTTCCAAGGCAACTGTTGTGGCAGCGAAGCCATGGTGAGGAGCTGCCTCCTCACGTTCTCCATCCACACGTTCCAGCCCTGCTCCGGCCCCCTCCTCGCTCTCGTGTCCCTGTCACCAGCTCTGTGCCACAGCAATAAACCCATCTGCTTAAAAACAACCATCACTTTTTCTTCCCCGAGTTCCTTTCACCAGGTCTCGCAGTCGGGAGCCAAGTAGAGGATGAGCCACAGGCACGGGGACAGGGGCCAGCCCCACTGACAGGGTGACAGGGTGACAATGGCACTGCCACCACAGCCACCTTCCAGCAGCCACCATGGACCTGGACCTCAGGTGGACGGGGGCCGGCTGGCCCCCCTCATTCAACATCTACCTTTAAAAACAGTTTAATTTGTCGACTAAATGCTTTTTCTCTGTACTTTTGTCTTAATGTTGTTATGTTGGGGAGGGGAAATAGAGACTGTGTTATTTAAGAATATGTGTGATATGTTATCATAGTAATATATATATTTATACCTGTATAGGAAATGCGTTATTTAATACAGCATATTCTGCTTGTATCCTGCTAACATTTTATAGGAAGAAAAGATGTTAGTTTACACTCTGGGAAAAATAAATTTTCTATACACTGTAACCACAGAAAAAAAAAAAAAAATCAAAGGTAATTAATTGGTCTGTCTGATAGACCACCACCGAGAGGAGGGTAACTCAGGCTCAGTTTTCAGGCAGAACAGATGCTGATGAAACAGTTTCTTTCAGGCACTTTCCTCCTCCGAGGCTCAGTTCCAGCGTGAGCTGCTTCTGGGCTGTTGGTCAGGTTCAGGCCCGACGCTCTCGGGACCATCTGAACATCAAACTCGTCAGCTGCTTTTTCAGCCCAGCATTAGCATCGGCTCTTTCAGGGCTTGTTTCTGCCAGATTTCCTGCGAGGCCGGGAGGTTCATGCCTGGCTGAGCAGCCAGCCCAGCCCCACTGCGCAGTCTCCGGCCCCGCTCTCCTGGCTCCCCTGGGAAGGGGATAAACAGGAGATATTTTTTCACTGATAGCCCTGGAAGCGCAGCCTGTGAGTGACTCCGGGCCCAACGCACCAGCGGCCACTTGGCTGCCATGGAATGAGCACGACGACCTGTTCCAGCTTCAGCTTCAGCTTCCCAAACCTCCTCCAGCAGCGGAGGGGCCGCCAGCAGCGTTTCCACCGCTCCGCTTCGCCCCGAGGGAGGGTGAGAGCTGCACAAACACCTCCCGACAGACGCTCGTCCGACGAGTTCTTAAACCCTTACAGCAATTAAACCCTTACAGCAACGGCATTTCCCAATCCAGCAGCAAAACACAGCCAGGTGGTTGTTCCACCTCAATATTATTGTAGACATTTATGAACAACCTTCTCATTCTGCGCTGCCTTGGGAGCTGGAGAGTGAAAAAAAATAGAATTGCCTTCAGATTGTGCCATTTTCGCTGTAACAACATGCACAGGTTTCACACAACTCGGTCCTTTCTCGGCTTTACTGAGCAGCTGTGATTTGGGATGAAATCTGGGGTTCCCCCTGTCAGCCTCGAGCCGGCTGGTGGTGATCCCCGAGGCGACCAGAGGAACCAAACAGGGCTGACAAGAGAACGGAATAAATCAAACCAGAAGTGAGTCCCCGAAATACGTGCTGTGTTGATACGTGGTCACCCCATGTCCTGCAAACGGCTGCAAGTAACAATTGTAAAATAAATAATAAATAAGAGTGGATTTCTGCAGGAGGAGCTGTTGGAAGCGCTGCAGCAGGGACAAGCGCTGGATAAAGGGAGTGGAAAGGCTGCAGTTCAGCAGCGGGAGAGAGCGGGACTGGGAGAAGAGAGTATTTGAGGTGAAAATGCTGCAAATGATCACATACAGAAAACGTTATCACTCTGAGAAGCGATTTCTGAGGTATTGGCAGATTGAAGTTTTCGGGTTACGTGTTTTCAAACTGCCAGAAGTAACTACAATTCTTTCGCTGCTTTCTCTCAAACAGCAGCAGCACGTCGTGCTGTTTCCACTTCCTTCCGAGATTCATCTTTCCTTCCCCAAATTCCTCCTTCCGACCAAAACACCACTGCGCTCTCACAGAAACCTTCAGCTCCGCATAAACGCCTCAATATCAGCATCAGGTACCAAAACCACCTCCAGCTCTTCATGCGGGGACTCAGACTCTCCTTTTTCTTGAGAAAGGGGCCGGTGGCAGGGACAGGGCTCTTCCCTTCTGCGTGTCCCGGGAACCACTGCCTTGGGGGTTGGTTTTTTCTGGCTGTTTCCCAGGCAACGCTCCCATTCCCCACCAGGGAAAAGGGGTCTTTATTCTGAAGGAGACACTTTTCTACCAAGCATCGCTGTCACAGGAGCTCGGGGCTCCCGGTGCCAGATAAAATCTCCGGTTTCAGGTGTGCTGGTTCCTCTGGGCCGGCTCCACGCGGAGCAGCCACCACCAGCCTTTTAAGGAGACTTTTCTCTTCCCCCCACACAAGCAGCAGCCCGTGTCACCGAGCAGCTGCCGTGGGGTTTGACAGACGCAGCCGGTGTCGCTGCAGCAGAGTGGGATTGTGTTACAGGAACACCCAGTGCTCCCATCACGTACAGCCCCACCAACACCCGCTCGGCTCTCCTGGCTGCGGAGCTTCCAGCCGGCTCAGGGTGCCCCCAGGACCCTCCTTTTGCCACAAATCTCTTCCTTAATGATTCAACCTCAAAAGTGAAAAGAGCCTCCCCCTGCCGAATAGCAAAATACTCATTTTTTATAGAAAATATTTACATTTAGCCATTAAAAAAACCACAGCAGAGACAGAATACACCCCTTCCACGTTCAACCAACAGCCCATGGCTCTTGCTCTCAGGGAGCTGGGCATGGGCTCAGCCATGGTTTCGTGGGACAGTGAGGGCAAAGGCACCTCCTGGTCCCCAAAGCACATGGCTTTGTCCAGAAGGAGAAATGAGAACCCAAAGCACCAGGTGGCACCAGCAGACGGGGGGTGTGAGGGGGGACAGGGATGTGAGGGTCAGCACAGGCACAGCCGGGTGCCACACACGGGGAGAGCTTAAAGAACAATCGTTTAATCAACGAATGTGGGGGGAAACTGGAAAGAATTAAGGCTCGTTTCTTGTCTGAATTGTGAGGTGATGGAATTACAGGGTGGGAGGGGGGAAAGCACAGGGGGGAGGTCTGTGGGAGAAGGAAGAAACGGGAGGAGGAGACGGGAAAGGGTTTGTGTGTGTCACTGGGTGGGAAATAAATACCATGTGGAGGCAAACTGTTTATACAGTGATACATAAACATCTATCACACAAATACACACGTACCAGACGTACCTCCCGGCCCCGCTCTCTGCAGGGATCTCCGGTCGCTCCCTGCCCTCTGCCGACGGGACGCGCAGCACCGCACTCATCCTCACCTCGGGCTCCAGGATCCCCTGAGCCGGGGCAGGACCCCGACCCCGCTCTGGTTCATCCACCCGCGCGGTGCCAGCTCAGCTCTCCAGTTATTTCACAACAATAAATTACTTTTACCTGAAATTAAACCAGAGTTAAATCCCCTCAGCCATCACCGCCTCCCCTCCCCCCCCCCGGAGGCTCCCGGGGCTTGTGCTGCTGTTTATCACTAAATCTAGGGCTGTATTTTGAGGAGCAGAATTATCCACGTCCTCCCCCCCCAAACAAGAAGGACAACTTCCACGTGTATATGCAATAAAACTGTATTTTTGTGTGGTTTTGCCTTTTTTTTTCTTTTTTTTTTTTTTTAATACAGACATTTGTACACTTTCTTACAAAACTGCAGGTAACTACAACTTCTCTTAAATCATTTTTGGTCGGCAAGTACTGTAAAATCTTTGTGTGCAATTATCATGTATTTACAGGGCCTCATGTTAGTGATTTTCAATGATTATTACAATAATGTCACACACTCTCAACATAAGACATGGCTTAAGATAAATATATTAGTAAATAAATATTCTGAGAACATATTTCCATAAATGAAATGTGCTGCTATACATATACAGAATATATACAAGATGTTTTCTAGCTTTTAAAACATTTTAAAAAATGGTAATGAAGGAGAAAGAGCCCTTTGACCATATTACAAATCTTTACAGCAAATTTTATACAAAACAATTTTTTTAAGTGCTATAAGATAATTTTAATTAAAAACATTTTAAATAGTGCCTCATGAGCCAAACACAATGACAACCCTTCGTGTAAGCGGCAGAAGAGGGGTTTTGTTGTGAAGCCCACCTTGTGGCCAGCAGGAATTACCTGGGGGTTGAACATGAACCCAGGGAAAGCCAAGGCTGACGCCCCGCGCCCGGCACCCCCCGCTCCGGCCCCGGGGACCCCGGTCCCGGCAGAGACTCCCACACGTGAAGGAGACCGGTTCCTCCAGGACCACCACCAGCCACAACATCCCAAATTCGGTGTTTCCCCCCAGTTCTGTGCCCTCAGAGGGTTGGGCACATCCTGGGACACAACCCCCAGCACAACCACCGCGGGCACCGCAGCTCCTACAACCCAGCGCTGTCAACGGGGGGAAGGAGAAAGGTAAGACTTCAAAAACCAACCAACCAACCAACAAAACCCCAAACCTTTAGAGTCTGCTCTCCCGGCACACACCACTCACTGCAGTGACTCGGAGAAGGAATAAGTTTTCTCTAAACTTTACACACAGAAAATGTGTTTACTGGAATTTTTCTCTCAATCTCATACCCGGAGAGCGCCTTGGACTAATTCTCTGAACAGCTGGATTTTGGTGTTTGTTCAGTTAAAGATTTAACGTGAATTCCTTAAAATAGAATTCTTTTTTCCCTAACTTAATGAGCTCAGAAAGTAAAAGTAAACAGATGAACCTATTTTTAATTTCTTAGACGTTTGATTTTTTTTAAAAAATATTTCATTTGGGACTAGGAAGCGAAGACGTTCGCTTTGCTGGTTCTCACGAGGAGCCCAGCGCTGTCACGGACGTTACTTTGGCAGAAAATGTGAAATCTACAGCTCTTTTTTTCTCACGGACGTTACTTTGGCAGAAAATGTGAAGTCTACAGCTCTTTTTTTTCTTTTTTTTCCCCATGTTTTAAGTCTCTCCAAATCGTACCGAACTTCGGACGAAATTTTTTGTCAGCAGACTGGCACCGCGGGCATTAAATAATTCAGTTTCCCTTTAGGAGAACTCCTGCTGTGGGTTCACCAGGCAGGATGACACCGTGTCCTCAGGCACATGCAGCATGACAGGCGATTCCGACCACGCGATGGCGGCCCCTGACCCAGAGGCCCCCGTTTCCACAGGAAACAATTGCTATCAGAAGTGACGACGTCGATTACCTGGCGATAACCAACGTCCTCACTAGTACAAGAAGAAGGACAAGAGGGTGCGCCCAGGCTAAGGGGGTACAGACAGCACTCTGTAACGCAACACACAAACGAAGCACAACTGGCTGGGCCCAAGAAACCTTTGAAACCGATGGATCGACGGCGGCTCCATCAACCACGGCGAAGAAAACGACCATTAAACCAAGTCCCTCTCTCTCCCCGCGCACAGGAGGTGACAGCCCCGCAGCCCTCGGCCACGCTCGCAGCCTGCAAAGGAAGCGACACTCCCTGACCCGTTCCCAAACCCACCCAGCCAAGCTGCAGGCGTCCCACCAGCTGGTCTCCTGCGTTCCCCACGGCTGGAGCAGGGGCTGCAGGGGCTGGAGAACCCCCCGTGGAAGGTGAGGTTCGTTACCTACGAAGGTATCACCCTTTCAAAGCACTTCCTTCCAGCATCGCTTTGAGGGAGGGGTCCCCAGCAGAAGGTCAGAAGGTACAGCAAGGTCCACGGTTTAGCGGGAAGCGAGGGAGAGAACATTCTGGGCCCCCAGTTTTCCTCCCCCCAACTCTGGTTAAAACTAATCAGAGGGGCAGGAGCCCCCTTCCTGGCCAAATCATCAGAGCAGCATGAAAGGGGGAGGTGGGGAGAGGAGAAAGGCCAGTCCAACGCTTCACCTCCCTCGGAACCGCTCATGGTAACTTGCTGGCTACTAGGACTTGCTACTAGGGCTAGTGGGTATCCCAGCACCCAGCCAGCAGCTGTATCCCTCTGGACTACTCTATTTCAAGGTGCTATCTGGTTTCTAAGGCAGGTGTAGCCCTGAGCTTATTGAAGGCTGGACTCCTTTAAGTAGGAGATAACAGCATCTACACATAGCCTGGCTTATTTAACACACCGTGGTACCTCTCAGCGAGAGCCGACACGGTCACTTCTAAAAAGAAAATATAAATAACACTTTGTCATTAATATAGAAATGGCACTAGAGCTCAGAAACGCTCCACACCATGTCCCACGTGGGCTTTGCACACAAATGGAGGCCTGAAGGCTTCAGGCAAGAGGGAGAAAGGAGACAATCAAGCTGATGTGGACACAGAGGAAGAGGAAGTAGGGGAGGGACTTCTCCACATTACCACTTTTGTGTGTTTGTCAAAGCTTAAAAAAAAAAAAAATTAAGTCCATGAGAATTTGGAGTCTCTGACAAGCTCCGCTTCTGCATCCGGGATCATCTGGACAGGTCTAGTCACCGATTTGGCTCCTCTCCAAGGGATGAGATCCAGCACCTGAAGGATAAAGAAAACTAAGGAACATTGCACCGAGAACGTTGCACCCAGTTTTGAGATCCCCAGAAGAAGACACTGACTGACTGGAGCGAGTTCAGTGGAAAGCCGAAGTGCTCAGAGGGCTGGGGCTCTCGCTCTATGAGAGAAGCCTGAGGAACCGGGGCTTGTTCAGGCCTCGGGGGTTCCCCTGGCAGGTTTGTGACACCTACATGGAGGTTGTCACAACAGAGGCAGGGTCTCCACCATGATGCCTCATGGAGAAGAGGTAAGGAGCTTAAGTTGAACCATGGGATGTTCAGACTGGAAATAAGGAGAATCTTCTCCCCCCGCTGGCAGTCGGGCAGGGAGCAAGGCCCAGGGAGGGAGCAGACGCTGCGTCCCTGGAGGTTGTCACGGCCTGACTGGAGAAACTTGGTCTAAGGTGACAAACTGGAGAGCTTGGTCTGATCTCAGAGCGGGCCCTGCTGTGAGCTCCTCGGAGCAGGTGGCAGCCTGAGGTCCCTTCCAACCTGGGGTACTCTAGGGTTCTACAGACACCCTCAAAACCAGCCCTGGCAAGAACCGTTCTGTGAGTGGTTCTTTTTTTCTCCTTTGTGCATGTCCACAGCAGAGAATTTCCCACGTGTTATTCTACAGCAGTTCCAAGGTTTTCACTCATTTTTTTATCCTTCAGCTTGTCCATCCCCTCCCAGCTCTCTGGCCGTGCCCACTCAGGCAGTTTGCCAGAGCAGCCTGCTACAAGCAGTCACTTTTCCCCCTCTCCTCTTACAGGGGGTAAATGGTAAACTACCATCTTCTACTCCTCTCACTATGACTGAACGAGCCCAGTAACAGGAGGAAACACTTTTGTGCAAAGGATTAGTCAATGATCTGTTCTTAGGCAAAGGATGGAGGTAACCTTTATGGCTGTAGGTAGCCATAAAGGCTCGGACAGAAAGGTAGGGAGTCATCAAGAAAAGCCCTCGTTATTACCTGTGGCCTTTGTGGTCGTCATCAGCTTCTGGGAGTTCAGAGTGGGACTGGGAAAGAGCATCCTGGCTTCCTCCTCCTGAGAGTAGCTCTGCCGCAGGAATGACGTTGCCTCGTAGCAGCCCTCCCTCTCGTCCTGCACCTCTGGGACACCCTGGCAGTGCAGATACGTGTCCAGCTCGGGCGTCCCGTCCCAGGAACCGCAGCCTCCGGCGTGGCTCCCCTGGCACTCTGCAGGTAGGATCAGCTCACAGTCTCTGTCTTCAGGAATGATGGGAATGCGTTGACCCAGATCACACACACCCTTACAGCAGCTGGGCAGGGTGTCGTCGGGAAGCGTGTACTGCACATTCACTGCATAGTCTTCTGTATAGCAGCCACCGCCTCCACCGCCACTGGTACTACTACAGGCTACCTGCTTCTCTTCATAGAAGCAGCAGGGCAAGCCCTCGTATTTGACCCCATCTGTCCTATGCAAGTGGTCTGAGTTAATACTGTACAAGCCCGGGGTGTTCCCTGACTGGGGCTCTACTCCTGGGCCACACGTCCCCCACAGCGGGGAGCTGAGGAAGAGCGCGCCGCAGTCAGCGCTGCCGCCGCCGGGCTCCAGGGCAGAGTGCTGGAGCTCGAAGCAGCAGGCACACGCCTGCTCCACGAGCGGCCCCACCGTCTCTGGGTTCTTCCAGTTCCTTTTAACATCCAAGGCAGCACCAGGAGTGGCCTCATGTCCTCCCTCTGAGGTAGTGCCATTTGGATCCCTGTGCTCTAGTGAGGAATTACTGCTATAGTTCATATCCATGCTGCAGTTGGACAGTTGGTCCCCTGAGGAAGAAGCTGGCACGGGCCGGCAGTCGGCACCCACCAGGCTGTGAGCGTGAGCTGGAAGCTCGTCCTGGTGGGGGCCCTCCAAGAGAACGATTGCACTCCTGTTTGCACCACCGACCTCGCCCGCTCGGCAAGGGCTCTTACTGCGGTAAACATAGGGGTCATAGTCACTGCTCAGCGAGCTGCGGAAGGTGGAGCAGCTCCCGTACACCCCCTGGTTGCTGACCTCCGTGCAGTCAACCATGGAATCGCTCGAGGAGCAGTGGCACTGACCAGAGCTGCTGCTGCTGCTGTCGCTGCCGGGGCAGTCAGCCAGATACCCACTGCACACCGAGCGATGGCCGTGGTAGCAGCTAAAGCTGGAGGTGCTGCCGCTCTCCAGGCGGGAGGAGGGCACCACGTGTACCACGGGAGGGAAGAGCATGCTGCCACCAGGCTGGAAGGCACGGGAAGGACCCTTTGAGGAAATGCCAGCGGGAGGCTGTCCATCTTGCTCAGGGTAACTAAGGCCTTGGAAGTAGTAGTGCTGATACATGGTCTCGTATTGGGAAAAACAGGCTGCTTTGGAAAAGTTGCGTCCCCCAAATTTGGGCCTTCGGAAGTTGTGAGCCGGAGAGTAAGCCCTGTGCTCCAGGCTGCAGTGATGCGTGTTTAAAGCGTGGTCCAAGTGAATAGGCTGGTAACTTCGGATGTAGGCTGGGGACTGGGCCTGGTAGAGGCTCTGCTCACCGTGTCGCTCAACCGTCAGCACCGTGATGGGGTTTCCGTGAGGGTCCATGCTGGTGCGGGTGGGATAGGCCGTGATCTGGCTGGCTCGGTGCACCCGGCCGGGGTAGTGCACGGGCAGAATCACCCTCTGCTGCCGGCTGCGCCCCGGGGTGATGGAGTCCAGGCAGACCGGACCCGCGCTCCCCTTCTTCTGCTCTGGATAAGAGAAGGAAGAGTGGAGAAGTAGATGGAGGAAGGAATAAAAAGGAATGTACTGTATGCAAAGAAAGAAGGATGTTTTGTTCTGAATTTAGTTACGTTACACATGTTAATAGCAATAATAATGATAAAAGAACATACAAAACAAGTGATGCACAACCCACTTGCTCACCACCCGCTGACCAATGCCCAGTCAGTCCCCAAGCCGTGGCCATTTCCCCCCCCAGGTTTTGTTCAGCACAATGTCCTGTGGCCTGGAATGTCCCTTTGGGCAGCTGGGGTCAGCTGTCCTGGCTGTGTCCCCTCCCAGCCCCTTGTGCCCACCCAACCCATCGCTGGCAGGGCAGTAGAAGCTGAAAATCCTTGACTTGGTGTAGGCACTGCTTGATAACAACTAAACCATCAGTATGTTATCAACATTATTCTCAGCCTAAATCCAAGCTACTAGGAAAAAAATTAACTCTATCCCAGCCTAAATCAGGACAGCACATAATTAACTCTATCCCAGCCAAAATCAGGACAGCACACAACACAGGTTTAAAAAGAAAGCACCAACTTTTTACACAGAAGGAAAAAATAACGAAACAAAATAAGTCAAGAGCATAAACCTGGAAGCCTTTGAAACAATCATATTTGCTTATAAAGAAAAAGAAGCAAAGTGGTTCAGATACTGCTCTCATATGTGCAAAACATTCTGCTTACACAGAATTCCTGGTCTTGCAGGTTAAGAGCAGTCAGCAGTCATTGCTCAAGTCTTCACTTTACACATTATTTTACATAAATGTGTAGTAATTGAGAAGTTTTCCCATACAGAGGAAAAGGAAGGGGGAGAGGGCAAGTAAGGGAAACTACATTCCAAGCTACAGACAGCGACAGAAAAATAAAAATCAATACATTGTCCTTTCTTTATAGCTGCCAAGAGAACACACCCCTGTCTGTCCCATGCCAGCCCCTTGCCCCCAGCCGCTGCCCAGTGCTGCCCTCTGCTGGGCACCGCACGCACAGCCAGGGAAAACGGAAACGCAACCTCTTCTTCCAGCGCCCGCAGGGACCTTCCCAGAACTTCAGACCTAACTGTGTTTCTAGGGTTGCGTTAGAATAAAGCCTGAGGGCTCTAGGGAGACCTCCACACCGGCACAATTTCTGCTTCATATTGTAAGCTGTTAAACGTGGAAGGGATGAGGGGAGAGCATCTGCGCGGCGGCACTCACCGATGATGTTGTGGCGGCAGTGGGGGCAGGTGTGATGCTGCAGCAGCCACGGATCCACACACTTCTTGTGAAAGCGGTGAGTGCAGGGAATGACCCGCAGCTCCTGCAGGAACAGACGAAGGGCCATGAAAAAGCATTCCTTCCCAAGGAGTGAGTTTTTCACAGCTTATTCCTAGCTTTGTCAGCCTCGCTACTAAACGCATCAGTGCCCAGTTTCAAAGTGGTAAGAAGGCAAAAAAACAATGCCATCTGTTCCAAAAGCACCAGAGTAGTGATCTGGCACTACAAGAATAGTCTAAAGGTGAGTTAGAGCTCCATGCAGATACACACCATCTCTTTAAGACACCTGCTGTGTGTCCCTATGACCTAACACCTTAAAGAAGCCCATCATTAAAGTTGTCCTTAAAATACGAAATAAACTTTAAAAAAAAGAAATCAATAGAGTCCATTTAATGATGCATCTTGCCTACAACTACTAGCAATGGAAAACATTCAGGAAAAGCAAAACCCACACAGCATATATGATATTTTTCCTCTCAACCAGCACTCCCATCCTTCAGCTGTTATCTGTTTACAGATACCCTGCTGGATATACACCAGATCTTTCTGCCAAGTACTGCTCAAGTCTCCCCCTGAGCTCAGGTTTTGAATTTGTAACATGCTTTGGCAAGAAGTTCCACGAGGCTGTGACCTGCTGGGGGAGAAACACCACACTTGGATTCAGATTGGGTCCTAACAGTTTCATTTAATTGCACCCAATCTTGAATTGAAAAAATATGCTAAAAATCCTCTAAATGCTGAGGCAAGCCTGACTTCTTTACAAGTTCTTCCTCAGAACAGCAGCTTGATGAGCCAGCAACTTGCAGAATGAAATCCCTCACCTCTCACTTTGTAGCCTGGGGAAAAGCCCCTGAGATTTCTTCGGGAGGTGCAGGATGCAGCTGAGGTTGAGTTGGCGACTCAATGCCATCAGGGTGGCAAAAGGCACAGCCTCAGCACACGATGTGCCCACCAGCCAGCCACGTCCCACAGTGCTAAAATAACCCAGCTCCATTCCCAGCCCAAGCTGAAGAAACTATTTAGCCTTTACCTCCCCGTCGATGTACTTCTCCAGGCAGATGGCACAGTCCGAGGTGGAGCTGCTGCTGAGCGTGTCCAGTGCTCCACAGCTCCCTTCCCTGTGGCCCTTACTTTTGGACTTAAACTTCCTGGTCTCCATTTTTTCCAGTGCTTGCACTGCAAGCCTGTTCATGGAATTCTACAGCAGAAGAAAGAAAAATAAATAAATAAAGAAAAAGGCAATGCTGCTGCAAAAGGGACTATAGTGTAGATGCAGAGGGTCAATGTAGATCTCCTTTAAAGACGTTTCCAAATTTTCCCAAAGGCCTACACCCATGTATAACGTCCTTTCCAGAAAGGTGACTATTCTAAGTCATTGTCTGGCATTTCCAAAAGCAGTGAGCAAGTTCTGGGACAAAGTAAAAGCAGCTGAATTTCAGCATCCAGTGAACATTCTATTACTGCTCTTACCTGGCTACGTCGCTGTTTCAGTTTGATCTTGACAAGAAGAATGAGGCAAACAAGAGACACAACCACAAAGAAGGCCAGGAAAATCCCCATATCAAAGTACTCGGTGGGTTGCTTAAAAATTAAAACAAAAACATTATTTTTTCTTTCTTTAGATCATACTCAAACCTATTGCTCCTTTCTTTTCTATGCTTTCTCAGCAGTCAAACATACACAGTCACAACGGCAAAAGTCAAAGTTCACACTGTTGTGTTCATTAACCAGGATTCTATGAGACAAAGCCTGGGTTTCACTGTCACTGCCAATGGATGAAATACATAAAAATGCCAGTCAGATTTACAGTGTGTCTGACTGAGTCACACTAACACAAATTTTCACCGTTTATTGGTCTGCTTGTATACTTAAGCGAGTGAAAAATCAACGTTTGGATTTGCAGCAAATGGCCCACTTCTCAAATACATTTCTTAGTGGAAGAATTCCATAAAAATACAACAAAGCCCAAGTGGTAACTGGGACAGCTTCATTCCTCATCTTTAAACTGCATGTAGAGAGTGTTCACAAAAACACTCATGAAAAACTATTTTATATTACAAATACCAGGTATCCCAATTATTAGTCCATGTTTAAAATACTACACAAAATTATTAGTTAACATAGGGCAGACTACCTATCAAATCTGAACTACCAGAAGTGTGCAATAATTAAGTTAACTACAAAAGGAAAACTTCTATTATATCAAATTTTTAGCCATTTGTATATTCGTACGAATCCTTATGAAAGACATTGCGGATTCCATACTTACATCAAGCGTAGCTGCTTGTCCACAGTGCAGTTGCTCAATTTATTTAGGTCAACAGAATTTCACGTTTTAAGGCTCATGGGGAGCATGAAAACCTCTTCACAGGCAGTGCAGTTAGCAAGCACTGGGGGAATTAACAGCAGCGAAATACCTAGATAAGGTTTCTTAAAGTCTCACCCGTGGGGGGCGATGCTGAATCCTTGCTCGTGCCACTTTCTGCTTGTTAACGATGTTCATTAGCTTGACAGCATCAGCACCCTTCACGTACACCACCGGTCTCTTCAGAGGGTCCTCTGAGCCCTGGTTCAGCTGGAACAAAAAAAAATAATCTACTCAAAAGGCACGTTTCAGGAAAACTACCTCTCTGTTGGACAACGGAGGGAAGAGTAAAGGAATATGAATGGGGAATCGATTCAAGCACCAATTGTTCTCTTCCAGCCTGGACCTTCACTTAAGTATTCCCCAGAGTAAAACCTGAATTAAGCTTTTGACTTAAGCTGCTCTTTTGTTTTATTGACCAAAACTAAGATTAAGGATAAGCAAATGTTATTTCTGAATGGCAGCTTCAACTCAACCGCATTATGCCCCAGTGCATATACTGCTACTGTAACAAGTTAAACCTCATAACGAAAAAGAATAAAAATAGACACATTCCATAAAAATTCCCCATGCTACAGCAAATGTTATTTCTGAATGGCAGCTTCAACTCAACCGCATTATGCCCCAGTGCATATACTGCTACTGTAACAAGTTAAACCTCATAACGAAAAAGAATAAAAATAGACACATTCCATAAAAATTCCCCATGCTACATTTTCTGAACCTCTTGTTATTTCAACTTTAAAGTTATGCTACTGTAACAAGTTAAACCTCATAACGAAAAAGAATAAAAATAGACACATTCCATAAAAATTCCCCATGCTACATTTTCTGAACCTCTTGTTATTTCAACTTCAAAGTTATTTTATTCACATACAAATTTCTTCGACTTTCTGAAAAATCTCCTGTTTTTCAGGCTCCTTGTACCTAGTCAATTTATTAAAGTCTGTGATTGCTGCTGTTTAACCCAGTTAACTCATTCAAACAGTTATTTGGGTTCTAACAACCACCAGAGCTATTGACTGAAGGATGGGGGCCTCGAAGACTAAAGCATGTGATTAGATAACTTAATTCACTCTGAAACTTCCTTCTAGGTCCAGCTAAGTTTTCCTGAAAGGCCAAATCATAGAATCAGAAAAGAAGGCACCCTACGAGTCCAACCTCCTGCTCAAGGCAGGGTCAACTCTGCCATCAGAGGCTGCCAAGGGTTTTATCCAGTCAGATGTTGAAAAACTTCAAGTGTGGAGACTGTGGAATTTCTCTGGCCAACAAATCCAAAAACTCCAACCTGCTGAACTGTTCCCCAGAGCGGGGAATAGCAAGACATGAGATTTCTTTGGTTACAGAACGGCACCTTATAGCTTATTCTGACCCACAAGAAAAAATCCCAGTACAGGAGCTGGCTGATGCAAAATAATCAGGGCATGGACAAGCAGATGGAAATGGTACAGGGAAAGGAACGAGAAGACAAGAGTGTGAGCAAGTTGAGCAACACTTGCATGGTTTAGCTCCCATCAGCAACTAGAACCACACTGCTGCTCACTCACTCCTTCCCTCTGTGTGGGATGTGGAGGAGAATCGGGAGAAAGAGGTAAAAATGGTTTAGCTCCCATCAGCAACTAGAACCACACTGCTGCTCGCTCACTCCCCTCTGTGTGGGATGTGGAGGAGAATCGGGAGAAAGAGGTAAAAATTGTGGGTTGGGATAAAGGCAGTTTAATAGAATAGCAAAGGAAGAGAAATATAATAACAATAGTACTGATAAAAGAACAAAGCCAGTGATACACAGTGCAGCTCTTCACCACCCAGCCCCCCACATCCCCAACTCCCCCAGTTATATACTGAGCATAACATCATATGGTATGGAATATCCATTTGGCCAGTTTGGGGCAGCTGGTCTGGCTCTGCCCCCTCCCAGCTTCTTGTGAAAATTAACCTGGACACAGAGATATCATATCTACATTGTTGGTATCTACCTGTTGTTTCTGGCTAGAACATGTAGGAATTACCAACTGAATGATCTATCATCCTGCATCCGTCCAGATGACGGTGACAGATTCCATTGTGACTTTAAAACAGATTCTTCCTAGTATTTGACTGGCCTTCTGAGAACACTGATCAATTTTTAAAACTGATGTCTTTCAAAGAGCTAAAAAATACCTGAAGTACTTGAATCAGCCCAGGGTTCCTATGTGTCCACACGGCTTGCTGGCCTAAGGCCAAATCCAATCACTGTCCCTACGCTCCCAGACACTTATTCTCTCTCAAGCTTTCTTGTCTGAGAAAGATTTCACCTGATTCCTCAGCAGATTTTGCACACTGCCAGACTTTTGCTAAAGATGATGCTCTGGGTGCTGCTACTCCTCTTTGAACTATGCAAAAAGCAAAACTAAGAAACAAATCGGACTTCACAGAGCATTTCTAAAAACAAAAGTTTCATTCTTAGTCTACAGCAAAAGACACAGCTCCCCTCACTGTCTTCAGACACTTCCATTTGAATCAGAGACTCCAGATTAACTCATGTCATTTTTCCTCCACTGTTATCCACCTGTCGTTGGTTTCCACAATTCCAGGTGAGTGCCAAAATGGTGTTTATTTTAAAGACAAACTGATTGGTATTCACAGAGCATTTCTAAAAGCAAAAGTTGCATTCTTAGTCTACAGCAAAAGACACAGCTCCCCTCACTGTCTTTAGACACTTCCATTTGAATCAAAGTGACTCCAGATTAACTCATGTCATTTTTTCCTCCACTGTTATTCACCTGTCATTGGTTTCCACAATTCCAGGTGAGTGCCAAAATGGTGTTTATTTTAAAGACAAACTGATTGGTATCCCCTGATGTCAAGGGTTCTGAAGACTTCATCTGAGAATCAAAATGCACAAAACTGCTCCACTGTTATCCACCTGTCGTTGGTTTCCACAATTCCAGGTGAGTGCCAAAATGGTGTTTATTTTAAAGACAAATTGATTGGTATCCCCTGATGTCAAGGGTTCTGAAGACTTCGTCTGAGAACCAAAATGCACGAGAACCAAAATGCATGAAACAGGTGTCCAGAGCACCACCAGAAGTGAGCAATGAAGTAACTCTGACACTTGGAGTGTGAAAGCTTGGTCCAGTCACTCCTCTCCCCTTCAGGAGTGTTTGCACAGGCTGCTGCCCTGCCTCTAACAGAGCCGACTTTGTCAGTTACTGCACCAAGCCACTAACCTCCTTCCACTTCACTGGTACCCCCAAAATATTCCCTCATCCACTGGACTTGTTTCCCAGCTACTGAGGACAGTTGCACCCAGTTTATTATCAAGAACCAGCGGTTGCTGGGAGAGGAAAGAGAGCAAGAGGCAGTAACTCTGCTCTGCAAGTTCAGAGCAGGGGGGCTGAAAGTAACTGGAAGCTGCAACCCAGAGAAAAAAAAAATTGGAAAAATACAGATGCTGTCTTTGTGCAGATAATTTTTCTGTGTATAAAAGGAGAAAAAATATCCCTGAGAATGTTTGGAAGATCAAGGCTGTAGCCTTGATGCACATGCAGAGCAGAGCTCTCAAAGCATCCATTGCAGGGTCTGCATTCCTTTGTCCAACAGATGCTCATTTCAGAATTAAAGCCAGCTTTTTTAACGTAAACACTGATGGTCTCTCTTTTCCCCAAGAAATTCAGGCTGTGCTTAAAACATTCAGCTTCACTTGTTTCTGCTGTAGCAGAAAGAGCAGTTTTCTTTCAAGGCAAAACAAAACTAAACCAAACACAGACTATTTTTGCGCTTATTATGTTTCTTCTCTCTACTCAAATAACTCAGAACTGGGTGGAAGGATCTTGCCAAAGCATTTCACAGAGCTACCACCTCACCCACTTCAAATGAGAAGATGGAAGTTGTACTGAGACCCTCAAAAAGGAAAAACTCTGCTTGTCCACAAAATATATAGGCCAGAAATCTACGAACAGCTGTGAACAAGAAATAAACGTTTAGAAGATTTTGTTGTGGTTTAACCCCAGGCAGCACCTGAGCACCACACAGCTGTTTGCTCACTCCTCCCTGCCCAGTGGGATGGGGGAGAGGATCAGAAGAGTCAAAGTGAGAAAACTCTTGGGGTTGAGATAAGAACAGTTTGATAATTGAAATAAAAAAACCAAAAACCAACCCTCCAACAAACCAACCAAAAAAACCCAACAACAAATTGTAATGAAAAGGAAAATAACAAGAAGGGAGACAAATAAAACCCAAGACAAGTGATGGAAATGAAAAATAATCACTCACCACCCCCTGACTGGTCCCCAGTTAGTCCCCGAGAGGCAGCCCCAGGCCAGCTTTTCCCCCTGGTTTGTATCTGAGCAGGACATCCTGTGGCCTGGAATGTCCCTTTGGGCAGCTGGGGTCAGCTGTCCTGGCTGTGTCCCCTCCCAGCCCCTTGTGCCCCCCCAGCCCATCGCTGGCAGGGCAGTAGTAGCTGAAAATCCTTGACTTGGTGTGAGCATCACTCAGCAACAACTAATCGAAAATCCTTGACTTGGTGTGAGCATCACTCTGCAACAACTAAGCCATCAGTGTGTTATCAACGTTATTCTCAGCCTAAATCTCCATCAGTGTGTTATCAACATTATTCTCAGCCTAAATCAAACCACAGCACTATACCAGTGACTAGGAAGAAAATTAACTCCATCCCTGCCAAAACCAGAACAGTTTTGTAATAATCTTGTTTAGAATTGGGTTTGAAAGCCGTTTTGCAACCTTAAAAATAGCAGCTGCCCAACAATGCAATTGATGATAAGCTGGGCAGGGCCAAACCCCCTGTGTTTTGTACCCAGAGCCAGGCAAAGAAACCTCCTTGACCAGATAATGAGACACAAAAAATTGGCCTCCATCCTTTCTCAAACCTCAATCCCATGCCTGAACTCTGGCTTCTAGCAAAGGCTAGAAGAAAAAAAAAAAAAATACAACTCCCCAAACTTTTCTCTTTCTACCAGATTCTCACCATCTCCACTGCTTCTTGCCTGCCAGAAGATGAGCAGGAGAACCACAGCACTGTGTTACCCAGGGGCAGTAGCTGTGTGTCCCAAGGTAGGTGTGCTCCAAGAGCTGTGTGCTCTCGAGTCCAGCCTCAGCAACCCTAAATGAACCCGGCAGAAGCTGTAATAAAACTGGGCTCCTTTCTTCATACCTGATCAATGGCATCTGGGTTTTCAGAAACATCAAAGATGACCGCTGTGGCTCCTCGCTGTACTGCTCGTTTTGCCTGCAATAAGAAAGACAGCATCCTCAGTCCCACCCCAAAAGATGACTTCTTACCTCAGAAATGACTCCCTCTCCTCATCTCCAGAGAGCAAACTTAACGTTTTGTGCTTCTGTGTAGTTAAAACAAATGACAGTGTAATGGCAAACACAGGAGTTCCTGATCCAGCACAGAATGTAAGTGGACTCTGCTATAGCTTCTACAATCTCTCTGCTCCAGCTTCTACAATCTCTCTGCTCCTTCCTTCTCACACTCCTCCTTCAACAAGCTTTTAAAGAAAGTCAAATGTGATTTAGACCCTCTAAAGACTTTATAAGAAATTTTTAACATTAAACTATGTTCTTTTTCTCCATGTTACTTGGAAACACCATTAAAAACAGTCTTCCCTGTGATCTGGGGTGGAGAGACAAGCTCACTAGTGTGGAAAATAAAGGCAGACCAGGTTCTTTCCACCTTTTCAGTGTCATTTGCACAACCACGAGAAACCAGCATCTCACAGTCTTTGCAAAAAGTGCCTCAGAGAACACTGCTCTTCCTGACCATTAGAGGTCAGAACTGCTGCATTCAACACTTCTCACATGGATAAAATCAGACCTATTTACGTGCACAGCTCTTCATCAAATATGTGGTCCAAACCTGGAGTTACCAACAGCACGGAGGAGATATTAGAACATACTCAAATCCTCTGGGACAAAGAAAACAGTATTTTAACCGCCGAGGCTAAGACAGGGTGTTTTTACCAGTTTCTGCTGCTGTGCAGAATGTGTACATTCTGTTTGAATGTTGCTCAAGGGCTCCAAAGAGCAAACATTCCCAGTAACTTTTCAAAGCTGTTCCTGCCTTTGTTGGATGCAGAATAAAAGTAACTATTTCCCCCAGCGATGAAGAGCTGTCACCATCACAGCACCAAACAAGAGGATACTGGCTCTTCAGAGAGACTACAAAACCTGAACTTCAACTGAGACAGAAAACAAACACATGAAAGTGACAAATTATGAAATATCACTCCGAGTTTTCCAAGAAGAACCTTGGCCACTATAGAGATGTTAGTTGGAACACTTACAGGTCACTTTCTTTGCTCTATTCTTATATTTTGGTTTTCGTTTTAAATCAACCAAGCCCATCAGAGAGCGTGTGAGGGAAACCAGCTCCCAAACGGGGTCTCTCTCTCAGCCCGGCAGGTATTTGTCCTCTTTGAAGTCAGCACACCTGGCTAATCGCTAATAGCTCTCGGGGAGGAAAAGTTAAAAGGAATCTGCTACACATTCTCCATCGCAGCGGCCCCGAGGTGAGACTCATCCCGGTTTCCCTACCAGGCACCTTTTACAGACACGCAGCGCTGGTAGAACCGTTCGGGCCACTTAGGGTGCTCTTTCAGGACGGTCAGCCAACAAGCCAGGCACTTTGATCTCTGCAGAGATTTCTGAAGAGATTTTGCAGGTTGGTTCGGGGGGAAAAAAAACCCAACCAAAACCCACCCTTAATTTTGTGAACACACCGAGTTAGCAGCGTACAGCGCAGCAATCCATCAAGCTTCCACCACCCAGATGTGATCTGTATTTCTGACTTTGGACTGTAAGATCAGATGCTGAGATGGGAACAGCAAGTGGGGTGAACCCCCCCACCACTTTCTGCAGACCCCCTGAGGTGGCTGGACTATGGCTCCAGCCCTCCTCCACCACCACCTCTCCTCCTCCACCACCTTTCCTCACCCGGGGCCCTCCTGCACCCTCGCCATTCACCTTCCACCCCGCCACAGGGCCCACCGGGCTACCGAGCTCCATCCCGGCCCCGCTGCCCTCAGGCCGGCCCGACCCTGCCCGACCCCCCCCGCCCGGCCCCTCCGCCACTGGGAGAAGGGGGAAACGCAGATTTTTAGTTTTATTTTTTTTCCTGGCGACGGTTTGAACCCCGATCCCAACCCACGCGGTGATGCGTCCGCCCCCAGGAAGCGCACCCCCCTCTCGCAGCCACCGGCGAGAGCCCGGGCGCTCCAAGCGACGCGGCGGGACCGCGGGCGGCGGAGGCCGGTGCCGAGGCCGCTCCCGGCGGCGGAGGGTGGGGAAGGTGGGTGCCGCCGCGGCGGCAGAGCCCGCTCCAGCGCTGCCGGGGCTCCGGCTCCGCGGCTTGGCGGCAGCCCCGCCTGACCTTCCAGGTTGGGCTGGCAGCAGATTAGAGAGCAGCCGCCAACACACCACAGCCTGCCGCTCCTCGCCCCCTTCCTCCTCCTCCTCCTCCCCCCTCTTTCTCCTCCAGCTCGTTTTTAAAACCGCTGCACTTTGTTGAGGAGCAGACGGGTGCGAGCAGGCCGGGGCCTGAGCGCGGAGGCTGCTTTTTTCCACCTCCTTCCCCTCAGCTCAAGATGGCGGCGGGGCCCGCGGCGCACCTGGGGCGGTTGGTTCGGGGGGAAAAAAAACCCAACCAAAACCCACCCTTAATTTTGTGAACACACTGAGTTAGCAGCGTACAGCGCAGCAATCCATCAAGCTTCCACCACCCAGATGTGATCTGTATTTCTGACTTTGGACTGTAAGATCAGATGCTGAGATGGGAACAGCAAGTGGGGTGAACCCCCCCACCACTTTCTGCAGACCCCCTGAGGTGGCTGGACTATGGTGGGCCCCAGGGAAGGCTCCAGCCCTCCTCCACCACCACCTCTCCTCCTCCACCACCACCTTTCCTCACCCGGGGCCCTCCTGCCCCCTCGCCATTCCCCTTCCACCCCGCCACAGGGCCCACCGGGCTACCGAGCTCCATCCCGGCCCCGCTGCCCTCAGGCCGGCCCGACCCTGCCCGACCCCCCCCGCCCGGCCCCTCCGCCACTGGGAGAAGGGGGAAACGCAGATTTTTAGTTTTATTTTTTTTCCTGGCGACGGTTTGAACCCCGATCCCAACCCACGCGGTGATGCGTCCGCCCCCAGGAAGCGCACCCCCCTCTCGCAGCCACCGGCGAGAGCCCGGGCGCTCCAAGCGACGCGGCGGGACCGCGGGCGGCGGAGGCCGGTGCCGAGGCCGCTCCCGGCGGCGGAGGGTGGGGAAGGTGGGTGCCGCCGCGGCGGCAGAGCCCGCTCCAGCGCTGCCGGGGCTCCGGCTCCGCGGCTTGGCGGCAGCCCCGCCTGACCTTCCAGGTTGGGCTGGCAGCAGATTAGAGAGCAGCCGCCAACACACCACAGCCTGCCGCTCCTCGCCCCCTTCCTCCTCCTCCTCCTCCCCCCTCTTTCTCCTCCAGCTCGTTTTTAAAACCGCTGCACTTTGTTGAGGAGCAGACGGGTGCGAGCAGGCCGGGGCCTGAGCGCGGAGGCTGCTTTTTTCCACCTCCTTCCCCTCAGCTCAAGATGGCGGCGGGGCCCGCGGCGCACCTGGGGCCGCCTCTGGCGGGTAATTACAGCTAAAAGGCCTCTGAAAAAAAAATAAAAATAAAAATAAATATATCCTGCCCGCTACAGGGTAATCGGGAGAGCTCAAAATAACGCGGCCGTGTAAGTCCCGCTTAAAATAATGCCAGTCTATAACAGGCATGTGACTTGATCGTTTCGAGATATTCAGTGTTCGAAGGCTGCCCCAAAGACATTTCACTAAGCAAAGAGGCCCAAACCTAGATCAAAAATAAAGACACACGTTGGGTGAAAGGGGATGGAAAAAAAAAGTTGTAGTGCTACATGTTTTACCTTTACGATACCCACAGCAAACAAAAGGGGCATTTCCTCAATTCCATTCCCAGGCAACTGACAGAAATCAGCGAATGTGCCATAGCCCCTTCTGAGATTGTTTGTCTTCTGCGGCTTAAAGCAAATGACTATCCCTACAGAGCAGTATTCTTCCTGCTTTGTAAAGGGTAATAAAAAAACCACTCAAGGTAACTGCATTTCTAGTAATCTGCATCATAGAATCACAGAATGGTTTGGGTTGGAAGGGCCCTTAAAGACTATCCCATCCCACCAGCCCAGGTTGCTCCAAGCCCCCTCCAACCTGGCCTTGAACCCCTCCAGGGATGGGGCAGCCACAGCTTCTCTGGTCAACCTGGGGCCAGGCTCTCACCACCCTAGGTAAATAACTTCTTCCCCACATCTCATCTAAATGTACACAGTTTAAAACTGTTACTACTCCTCCTATCGCTATGATCAAATGATCATATGACCCAGCTTCTCTGGTCAACCTGGGGCCAGGCTCTCACCACCCTAGGTAAATAACTTCTTCCCCACATCTCATCTAAATGTACACAGTTTAAAACTGTTACTACTCCTCCTATTGCTATGATCAAATGATCATATGACCTCCATCAAATGATCACATCACTATCAAATGATCGCTCTTTGTTCACAGCGACAACCACCTCCCCGTCTTCGCATCCGGAGTCTGAGAGCCCGTGTGGCTACCGAGCGACGGACTCGGACCTGCTCGCTCTGCACGGCCGCTGCAAGCACCGCCATCGTCACCTGAACTTCTCTGTGAAGGGCTCCCACATCCTGACGGGAGCTCCAGGGAAGTTACACACATTCTGTGTGGATCAGCAGCTCACTAAATGCCTGACGTGCAGAAACATAGGGCTCAATTGTGTAAAAACACTCATGTAGAGAGAGCACTAAGCGAGCCTTTGTCCTAAAACAGGACTGGAAATGACAATGCCATGTACTGGCAATTCAGAAATTCTTTTGTCCTTAAGTACAAACATAATAAAACAAAATAAAGGTTAGAGGTTAGATATAAGTAGATCTTTATAGGATAGAGACAAGCCACCTGGCATCTTACTTGACAAGCCCAACCTTAACTCACTGTCTGAAATTATTTTCACTTTCATGTAGATCTTTATAGGATAGAGACAAGCCACCTGGCATCTTACTTGACAAGCCCAACCTTAACTCACTGTCTGAAATTATTTTCATTTTCATGGAAGGGAGATAAGTTTTTTTACAGGGGGCGACTGACTCTTACTGTCATTTCCCCCTTGTGTTCTGTGTAATGATGGTGTAAAAATAACAATGGTTTGCAACCTGCAACCTGTG